AAATTGGAAGTAAGTGGTGCAATGTTAAGTCCCAAAGAGATAATAGTAAAGTGTAAACGTCCTCTAATCACTTCGTTGACTTAAGCCATGAGGGATTTTCTTTGTTGGAGTTATAAATAGTTTTTTTATATATAAAGAGAAATCAGTAAGAAATAGGTTACTTCGGCTGTACAAGATTGTCCTTAGATATTAATAGTAACTTATGGAGTACAGAAAAATAATGCAAAGAAACTTAGTTAAGTTAAAGGGAAAGTTACTAATTGATTTTTCAAAATCTGCTTCTGAAATTCTAATGTTATGAACTACTAGTTAGCCAAACTATATAATTTCATAAAGCCTCTCTAGATCACTCCAAGAAAATCTGAAACCCTTAAGTCAACTAAACAGCCCACGTTCCCTATTAATCTCACTTACCAAATTGGCCCCTTAACAGATTTTACCCAAACAATTAACTCCCAAAACCGTCGACAAAAAGAAAGCAACAAAGGCGGGTGAAAAAGGCAGCAAATCCGAAATCCGACAAAAAGCCAGGCCAAGACAACAACAACGACGACGACGTCGACGATGTCAATGATGACGACAAAGCGCAGATTTCTATGATCGCCCGGTGCGCTCCTCTCAGTGAGTGTGTGAAATGCGGAAAGCTGCTCCAATCACTCATTTGTTACATGAGCAAGGCAGGGGGAAAGGAAAAGAAAAAATAAAAAAGAAGAAAAAAAGATTGTGAAAATGTGAAATGTAAATTTCTCGTTGTGTTCAAACCGACAAAACCGAAACCGAACCAAAACGCCAATTGCTGCAAAGTGATTACGAAAAGTCGCTCTCGTCCCGTCTCTTTCCCTGCAGTCGCTTTCTCTCGCTCTCTGAAAAGTTTCACCCGCGGCACGAGTACGGAAGTTATATCCCACGGCAACTTTTTTTTTTTTTTTTTTTGATGCCGTATCTCAATATCTCTTCGCGGCACAGCTAGCCAGCTTTTTACAACTCCATTTCTTGTATCTAACGGATGCAACTCGATTTAGCCATCTCGTACGTAACACGCTAATCAGTGGCTTAAATCTCGGCAGGTAAACGATTTGTGGGCTTCCCTAAACCGCCTCACTTCACTTCGAGGGCAATCGAATCAATTAACACTTTCGTCAACGCACCAAAACGACCCACGCAATCGTTGAGGAGAGCAGCCTGCTTCCAGATTTGATTGCTTCGATTTCAATTTTGTCATCTGGGGTGATTACAATGTTGCACCGTGCTCAAAATATGGCCATAAATGAATAATCGTCTATAAACATCAAAACAGTGTGTTGAATTGGTATTTTTTATGCTTTTTATACGACAGCATAAAAAATTATATAGCTTTTAAGATTGCCAAAATGTACGCAACTGATTTCTATCAATTTTTTAATTATTTCCGATGTCCGTTTGCTGTAAATAAATTCCTAATTTTGGTTAGATAATTAGTTGCCTGGTCACACTGCTCTTGTCACAACTGCTTGCTTGGTCCCACTTCTAGATTAAATATGCCATAATCTATAGATAAACTAAATTTTTAGTAAATTTTTTTGTAAATCCATTAACATATTGTAGCCACTGTGGCGGGGGAACGACAACGCCTGCCTTGATCGAAAAATTGGGTTATTGTCAGCGACCCATTCAAGCGGCAGGGGCGATGTTATTAAACTTTTGTTTTATTTATGGAAATTAGTGTCAAGTAAATCATGTGCATGAGCATTTTGCAATATCGCCATATATATATATAATATATTATACACAGAGCCAAGCAAACACACTCAAACACACTTATATTGGAAAGCATTAAGCGAAATTTCTATTTCTAAAACAACACCAAAAATCCATTGAAAATCGATTGATGACATACCGGGAGATAGAGAAAGGAGTATTCGAGGGAAAAGAGCAGCAGGGGTCAGCTGGGCAATGTGAAAGTCCCAATGAAATTAAGACTCATTGAAGATTCAATGACTAAGTGGAAAGGTGAACCAGTTGAGATTGTTTAATGTTTCCGCAAAAAAAAAAACGAAAGGAAGTTGAACCGAACGCCTCCAGTTTGGTGAAGCAAAAATGTATTTAAAAAATGCCCAAAGGTCGCTGAACGTCCGTCTCCGCCGGCCTTTGATTTCAAAGATGAGCAAATCGCCATCAAATACGAGTGTATATATTACAGATATATCCCCCTTATATGGCCACTGTGGCATAATTAGCCGAGTGGGCGGTGATAACTTTGAAATTGATCGTGATGATCGAACAAACACACAAACGCGAGAATTACGAATATCAAATATAAAAACCTTTCAATGTATTTTGTGTGAGAGATGTTGCCTTGGTATTTTTGTTGATTTATTAAATTGTCCATGAACCCTTTAGAAACCTTTGCTGGTAGATTTTTAGAAATATTTAAAAATATTTTCTGGAACTTAAAGGGATTTTCACTGCTTCATTAGATAAGATAGAAAAAATGAACTTCTATCTTTAATTTCTTTTATATATTTATATTACATGGAAAGTCATCTCCAATGACAATTTTTAGCACTCTTTTATTGCTGTCGTTTTCAAGTTTGGAATTTTGGTTATAACTCAATTACCCAACCAATTTCACAAGCTGACCGCCCGACGACAACGATGGCACCCCGCCCACAAATCGTACTTGCTACTTTCAACACCTCCAGCGTCGCAACTTCAAAGGGTGGTCGGTCTTATGTACCCATCCGGCGAACTACAACTACAAGGAGGGCCGCATTACTGTCCAATTTTCACACATTCTGGCAATGTCAGAGGAAAAGGCCTGTGTGAGGCCATCTAACTAATGAGCAGGCAAGCACTCACTTACCAAGTCAGGCACATACACATGATTTGCGAGGCGGACAGAAGCTGAAACTGATGCGATCCGGTCATGGGACTATGGTGGGTCCTCTGTTTTCTGTATTGAGTATGTGTGTGTGTGTGTGTGGCCATCGTGGCCCAAAAGGACACACACGAAGCCCTTTTGGCCCTATGCTAATTTGCACGCCATAAATGAGACGAATGTGCCGAGTGGTGGCATGTGAAGTGTAGTTGCAGTTGCCGGTGTGCACTATGGGAAAAAGTCGACCATGTTCCATGTATTTCCTTTATCATTATGAGTTCTTTAAGTGGAAATATTTTTATATTGTTTTGTGTCGTCAATCATAACTTTCTTTTGTGATCGTTAAATATACCCCTATATAAAAATATTGTTAAGAAAAATAAGCCAAATTCTGCCAAAATCAATAATTTTCTCTCTGTGCACAAGTTTTGTTGTTGCTATTGCCGCTGCAATTGTTGCAAGTGGAAAACTGCTGCGGCCTGCCATGGATCGAGTGGCAAGAAGTGGGAAGTGGAAGTGGATGAAGTGGATTTGGAGTTGAGAGGCGGGGTAAGGCAGTGAAAACGCCGGCTGAAAGAAAAATCTGCAGTTGGGTGGCCACCGCCAGTGTTTTGTGATGATGGGCGACTGCCAGCGACATGTGTTGCTCGTTCCTATGTACTCGTACTTGGATGGCTAATGCCACCGACAACGACAACGCCCCATTTGGATACACACAAACAAGCCGAGTACAAGCAAAATGTGCCACCCAAAAAATTAAAAAAAAAAAAAGAAGAAAGGAAAAAACATTTGCTGACAAAGGACGACAGCTTACGTTCCCCGGCGATGTGCGTCGATAGAGCGTTCCAATGTCAACTGTTCCTGGAGGAACAACAGGCAGGATGCACTGTTAGAAAATGGGGTTTAGTTGTAGAAGTTCTTTAAAAAAGGTATTTTTTAAATAAGAAAATTGATCTTAAAATTGTTATCTTTGTTTTTTATACGTTAAATAATAGTAATAATATTTTATTCTCTGGAATTTTCAGTCCATTAATAATACGAAAACGAAAAACGAAGAAAACGAAACATTAGTTACTATTTTTATTGGGAAAATGGTTAGATTATTTCTTTTATATCTGAATAAACCCATTGCAAACGCAACTTCAAGAAGGTTTATCCATTTAAAAAAAAGAAATATTTAGCTTATTTTGTCAGCTATTTCCAAGGCCAATTTCCACGAATTCCCTTGGAAAATGAAACAATCATTTTCTTAATGTATATGGAGATGGAGGCTATTCAGATGGTACCTATACTCCTTGATGACTTTTCCACAGCCCCGCATTTCGGATAGCCCTGTAAGAATGGCTATATACATACATACAAATGTACAAATAGGAAGCCCTTGAAGGACGCGACAGAAGGCTAGGTGGTCGAAATGGGGAGGGGCTCACCGGATCGGACCGCCTCTGTGACCAAGTGATTACCGTTTATCGCCACGCCAAGGACCGCCGGCAAAAGTAACCTCCGTCCTGCGACCACACGCGCACCCACACTCGAAAACGCGTATACGCAATGTACGGCACACACGCGCAACCATTTATCAGCTGGCCCTCAACGCTGTCTCTCTCGCTCTCTCATGCTCGCTTGTGCTCTTGCCCTCTCTCGTTCTTTGCACTTGCGCTCGATTTTCAGTGTCTCTCGGTATCTTGCTTTCCGCTTCTCTCTCTCTGTCTCTCTTTTGATACCCAGTAATCGTAGAATATTGAGGTATGTCTATACACTTTTGTTTATTCAACAGAAAGGAGGAAGTGTTTTAAATTTCATAGGGTATATGGCATATAATAATCCAACAAATGATAATAGTTACTTCAAAAAGTTTTTAGAGCCCAATTTGAATCGTCTAGTTTAATTTACCTCAAAATAGAAATCATGAATATAAAAGTTAATATACTGACATGATTTAAATATTATATAGGGTACCTCCATATCGTGTTCTTACCCCATTGTTTGCCTCGTTTCCATATGTGCTCATCGACCTCACACAAAGCCAAGCAAAGGTGTAGGTGTGCGTGTGTGTTACATAGTTACACACAGAGCGTCGCAATCGCTGCCGGCGTCGCAGTCAGCGTCGAGAGTGGACGTCGGAAATTTCTGTATTTTCAAGTTTCAGCTCATTTCGACGCGCACTTTCAAGCGGAGCGGTTCGTTCGTTTTGTCAGCGCTCGATTCGACTTCGATTCGATTCGAATCGCCTTCTCTCTCGCTTCGTGTGTCGCCCACCAAATATAATACAACAAAAAAAAGTAAAAGAAAAAGAATTCAAATCAAATACTACTCGAAACAAAAAATCGAGCACACACTCGAAAATTATACAAATCGTAAGGCAACTAAAATAACAAGAAAACGGCATGTGGCAACAAAGAGATTTGTTCAAATGAAAAATTTATAAGCACCAAAAAGTTGAGAAATTTTTTATAAACTAGGAGAAGAATCTGTATATTTTCATAATACACAAAATCCGAAAAATACAAAATACAAAATACAAAAAGGTGTGTGAGTGTGTTTTTGAAGTGTTTGCAATAAATAAATTGTAAAATGTTTGAGCCCTATGTGAAAATCAAGAAAAAGCGAAGTGTGCATGAAATCTATGAAAATGAGAATTTAGAGCAGCAGCAACAGCAACAGCAGCAGCAGCAGCAGCAACCTGCTACCAGCGATAATTGTTGCTGCGAGAACGGAGAGCCGCAGAATGGGCCTGAAATTGCAACTGCAACAGCAACAGCAAGTGCAACATCTGTAGCAGCAACATCTGCGGCAACATCACCAGCAGCAACAGTCGCCACAGGAGCAGCGGCAAGCAGTAGCAGCAGCGGCAATTGCAGTCGCCTGCAGCAATTGATATCGACGCCACCAGTATTATTGCGCAGATCGTCGCTGCAACAGCAACAACAGCAACAACACCACCCACATACGCCAGCAGCAACAGCAACACCATCGCAGCAGCAGCAACAGCAAGCTGCGCCTTCAGTTTTGCAACAGCATTTGGGTCACCTGAATTACGAAAGTGGAGCAACTGCAGCGGCAGCAACAGCAGCAGCAACCAGTAGAAGTGGCTCGGCAACACTGGCGCAGCATTTGGCAACACCCAGCAACATATTGCAGGCGGCATTCGGCAGCAGTAACTTGCAACACATACTAACGCGTTCCGCCCCCTCGCCCTCGTCCAGTTCGATTTCCTCCAACAACTGCAGCAGCGCCTGTGCTGGAAATACGCACTACAACGGTGGAAATAGTAGCAGCAACAGTAGCAACAGCAATCACCACAGCAACAGCATCATTGCCAGCCGCCTGTTCGGAGCCGCCTCCTCTTCATCATCATCAGCATCCTCTTCAGTGGCTGCCTCATCCTCTTCATCATCACACCATCTGCATAGCCATCATTCGGCGCTGACCAACTCCATAACGAATCGCATCAATCAGTCCATCAGGCGGCATCTGAACCAGCAGCAACATCACCATCCCCTCAGTGCATCCTCATCCTCCTCATCCGCGTCCACATCATCGTCATCTTCATCATCCTATCAGCAATCGTCGGTACAACAGCAACACTATAATTGCGCCCATCCTGCACAGCAGCAACAGCAACACCACCAACATCACCACAGCAACAGCAGCAGCAGCAGTAGCAGCAGCCATCATCAACACCACAGCAACAGCAGCCACACCAACAACAACAACAACAATCAACAGCAACCACAACAATCTCCTCTGTGCCTAGTATTATTAGTTAAATGCCCCAATTCTAAGGAATTTTGTAACGCCGCCGCAAATTTCTGTGATAAAAGGTAAATATACGAATCTAATTGGCCCATTTACCGCATCGATTTCCCTATTTTTGTGTGTGGCCTAAAAACGATTCTTTAGATTGTAATTAAAAGAAAACCGAATAGGTCTCTTAGTGGGGCAACTAAATGCATTTACATAAATATGATTGCGGCTTAAATGCCAGTCATTGGCATTTGTGCATATGAGCCATTTACACCTTCTTTCAAAAAAGCAGTAGCTATGGGAAATGCATACTATTTTTTGGTTAAGTAGGTGGCTTAGTTGGTCTTAAATGTGTGGCGATCAGTAAATGACAAAAGTTGAACTTTAAGGTTTTTATCTGGTTGGTGTCGAAATATTTGTGAATGCAAATTAAATCAGCAGGTTTAAACTATCAAAAATGTTCATCTGAGAACCTTATAACTAAAGGTTTTCCTCGAGAAATACACCTAAAGTTGGCTTAACCCCAAACCTAACCCTCGAATTCGAATGGTCCTCGAATCCAATTGGCTTCAGCTTAGCAACAAGTAATTGGTAGCACAAGTTGGCCCACAATAGCCAGTGTCAACAATCGTTAGCCCGACCAATTGGAAACCAAAATCCACTTGAGATGTGTGGCCCAGAGTGTGCTTGCTTGCTGCTGATGACCCAGTTAAATTCCCAGGACCTTTTGCACCCTGAACTACTTACAGTTCTTCTGGGCCACAATTTTGAGTTACCATTGTCACATCCTTGAGTTACGGCCACAACAAACAAAACCGCCGAACAAACAACAGTTTGTTTTGTAAAAGTTTCTCGGCTATTTTGATGGGCTTGTGTGAGCGGCACTAAGTATGCATATACCTATATACTTACATATATATATATATATATATATATATATTTGTATATATATATTTAATTTTGATGACTTGTAGTTTTTTGTTTAGCCGAGAGTTTGGTTCGTTTCGGTTTTAGTTAGCTAGCAACCTCGAAATAACCTAGATGGTTTTTTCAGATGACCTTACTTGCGTAAGTAATTGGTTTCTTTAGTGTGGAAACCTGATGATTTGCTTACTAATTCTATTGATCACCCTGAACTACCCGTTATGCTATATTATATATATATATGTACTATGCATATACCCTATTGAGGAACTGGAAAATGTCGTAACTTTTCCCCGGGGCGAATAAACACAGAACTTAAGTAATTAAGTTCTCTCTATATATCAGCCACCCTTAATGGCAACCATATCTGTCTATCTCTTTCGTTTCGCTTGTAGAATAGGCTTTCTCTTTCGCTCTGGCATGCTCTCCTTTTCGTTCTTGTTGTTGCTGCTTTCACACGGTGACCCCAAAAGGCGTTCGCCTAACCTCAAAAAGATGAACAGAAAATATAACAATTTGGTAAACACACACAAAATGCTTATAGCTGGGGGTTTCTCTACAGTTTCTACATATACTTTTTTGTTGTTTTGTTTGAGTGGCTCTCAATTTTCGGTTAATTAATGGGCGTGGGCGACTTGCGTGCCAACCTTTGTCATTTGGGGTCAGCAAACAGCTGCAGCAGCAGCAGCAGCAACATCTACTACAACAGCAGCTGCTTTGTCATTGAAGAAGAGAGCTGCAGAATCGAGACCATGGCTCGTGCTTGGTTTCTTTCTTAATGCTTTTGACCATGTGCCAGTAATTGTTATTATTTTTGGTTTTTTTCCTCTGACTCTGATTCAGAATCTGATTCTTATTCACTTTTCACTAGGGCTGCGTTCTGAATTTCGTGCACTTGTTGCTCATTTTCTTTGGCCTTGCTGCAAATTGCCCGATAATCTACAGCAGAATTTCGAACAAAAAAAAAAATTATTTCTTTGTCCCAGACGCCGCCGACTGGCAAATCTGAGTCATGGGACTTCGTTGATTGCCAACTGGTCTTTATCAGCTGGGTTTTCGACTGACGCCGGCAGCCTTACTTATGTATTGTAAAAATATTTTAAAAAAAAAGCAAGCACACTAAGTTCCTAAAATAATTATGGTTTTTATTTTAAATCAGTTGTGATATAATAAGCAAACATTTTTTTCAAGCTTCTATATACTAGGAATATGGTTTTAAAACCATGATAACCAACAAAAGTTAAAATCAACTATGAAATTTCCCCTCTTCTACCAGTTAACCCCAAAAAAACCCCTTCCTGCCTTTCGAATACAGGGTGTTCGTAAAACCTTCCCTTTTTTGGTCTCGCTATGCGGTTTTTATGTTTTATCTGCTCGAATGGGAAGAGACGGGAAGTTTGCTTGACTGATTTTCACTGTGAAAGGGCTGACGTTACTGCTGGTCATGTTGCTCTCTGCCCTTAGCAACATGTTGCTGCAACATTATGCAACGAACTTTTTAGGCTTCCGTTTTACCAATCAATTCCTTTCCAAATATTCCCCAAAAAAAAGCTTGAATTCAAGCAATTATTAACAGATCGTGTTTTGAGTTGCATTGCAACTTTCCAATTTGTTGTCTCCCCAATTTTGCTGTTTAATAAATTTAAAATGTAAACTTTCAAAAATAGCGAAATTAAATTCATTAACATACCAGCTGCTGCTGCTATGTTAAGCTGCAGAAAGATAAAAACAAGTAAACGTTTTTTTTTATATATATTTTTACTATAATTGAACTGGGACTGGGCCTGGAGTTTTCACTTTGTTTAACACATTTCACCCAATGATCGTAAACCGAAATTCTCTCGCCCCAGAGTCTTTCACTCAACCCACATTTTATTTAGAACAGATACAGATCTCTCAAAGAAATCAGCCAAGAATTTCTAAGCCAATAAAAAAGAAGATCTTTTAAGCCAACAAGATCACGATGCTCTGCGCCTAAAGAAAAAGTAGTAGAAATCCCAAACACCACAAAAAAAAAAAAAGAAAGAAAGAAGAAAAAAGAAAGCACGACAAAAACAAAATGTGAAAACGCATGAAAGCCAATATCTCTCGCTCTCTCACACACACTCACAATTTGTTTAGAAAGTGCAGAGAAAGAGGTAAAAGCGGCAAAATGCAAACAACCTAAAAGTTTGGCCCAAAACGTTTCAATGAAAATTGGGCACACAACATGTGGTTTATTAATAATTTATTGATTTCATTTCTGCTCAGCCCGCAAAACTTGTTTGCTTGTGAAAATTTATTATCCAACAAAAGCAGCTGGTAAAAAATTACACACATATCTATACATATATATGTAGATGTTTGTATGTATTTTGAGCCACGCGCTAAAACCACAACGTGCTTTTCGGTTAAGAGAAGCTTAATAAGAGAGAAATTAAGAGAGAGCGATCTCTTGAGCTCGGCTTGCAGATACGTCATCAAACAAGTTTTTACGATTACATAAAGCCTCGTTCCGCTGTCAGCAAACTTGCTCTCGTTTTAAGCTTCGGGTTTTGATTTTTTTCTTTCGTTTTTTTCGCTTTGGGTTTGTGTTTTTTTTTTTTTGGTGAAACTCGCTGCCAACTGCGCTGCCAGCGTTGACGCTTAAAACGCCTACGCGACTGCGCACTAAGAAAAATGTTGATAAGTCATTGGGAAACGGAACTAAAAGAATTTTGGGAATAATCCGAGCTTTATTAAAAATATTTTAATTGATGTAATGGATAATGGATTTGTTTATTAGTAATAAACACTAAATAATTATTAATCATAACTCTTATCATAGTTGTATTACTTTCACAGTGCCTGTCACTCAAATAATTACACCTTATTTCCTATGCCGCTTTTGCCATTATTTTACGTAATCGAAATATGTTTTCCCTTCATTATTATTTGTGATTAACACAAGCACAAACTTTCATTTATGTTGCAATCCCCAAACAAAACTAACCAAAAAAAAAAAAAACAAACACACACAAAGTGACAAACAAATGTGGCAAAAATGATTTTAGTTTGCGTCGGCCTAGTTTTTTGGCCACACAAAAAGTGTGACACACGTTGATTAGCATTTGAAATCCGTAGAGCAACAGCAGTTATGTAAAAATTAACAACATTAAAGTTATGCGGGGAAAATGGAACGCGATTTTTATTGTGACATTGTAAATTTTTATTGCCACAGATTTCCTAAAATGAGATCAGTTTGTATATATATATCATACTCGTATAAGGAACTTTATAGTATATGATATACTTATTAATTTCTTTTACAAAGTTGATTGATCTATTAATTGGTTTAATGCGAGCATTGACGAGGAAAAGTCGAATCAATTAAGGGTATAATTATGGAAACATAATTTTCCACAACTTTCAATTGTTTTCATTAGTGCAAAAAACAATTGCATAGGCCAAACAAGGTAGAAAAGCAGAGTAAAATTACAGCAGGCAAATTTCACTCTACTTACATGATTTCGTACGCTTTATATAACAACAACAAATACAACAACTGCGAATCGACTTTCACGAAAAACTGCAAGCAAAGCTGCAGATGTGCGAGTGTGAGAGCAACTGTTAAGGCCAGAGTGAGACAGGGCTAGACGCCAAGCTGGGGGCCAAAGCTTTCTCTCCCTCCGCTGAAGAAATACCAACTACAAAGTTAAACTCCAAAGGCAAATGGACGACGCATCGAATCGTCGACCGACCGACTCTTGAGTGAAAGACCCAAAAACGAAACCCCACCAAAAACGAAAACAAACCCAAGCTAAACCAAAGAAACCAAACCGACTGAAATGTTGAGCGTGGGAGTTTTTAAAATTAATATGCGTCAAACTGTTGACACTCCATGGAGAGATTGGAGAAAGATTGGAGAAATGTCGTGAGTGGTTAGCACACTCTAAAAAATATTAGTAGAAGGAGATTGAAAGTGGGGATTAACTTGGTTATTTATCTTGTTAACACGTTTAAGAAGTTTTTGTTTGATTTTTGATAGTGTGATTGAGAGATATCATTAGGGTTAAGCCGATTTTCAATATATATACATATATCCTTTATTCTTAGTTCCAAAGAACTCTTTCTCATTTTTATATAAAATTTAAAGTTTTCTACTCCAATTTCGCTTTTCTAAGCTTTCGATATTTGAAGAAAGAGATTTTCTAATAAGCAAACAATCCTAAAGATTTGTTTTCTTAAAAAAGGATTAAAATCAATCAGCATTACTATTTTTAGTACAGTATTATAAAGCTGAAAATTATATAAAATTGATTAATACAACGATCCTTTTCCCCTGTGCCGTCTAGCTAACCATATTTTTCGGTTGGGTGGGTGTCATCATTGTTGTTTTGTCGTCGTTCAAGATGTTGCTCATGTTGCCTTTACGTTGTGTGTGTTGCCTCTGTTGCATTTGTAGCGGAAGTGAAGTTGTCGAGTTTGTTTTGGGAGTTGGACTGCGTTGAGTTTCTCTTTTGAAATCATTTTCATTGGCATGAAAGTTCACATTATTTAAATTAAATTGCTGCCACCGCCGCTGCTTCTTCTTTCCCTCGGTCTGGCTGGCGACTGAAAACAAAAAACAACAACAACAAAATGTATCTTTGCATCTGTGTTTTTGCAACGGCGGCGCCGTATTTATGTAAAAACCAAAAAGAAAAGCAAAGAAAAGCGTTTCCTTTTGGCTCGAAAACAACGGCGACAACTGAAAAGCGTTTTTCACTCAACTCATTTGTTGTTGCTGTTGTTGTTTAGGCGGCGAGTGAAAGGAGCCTTTGTTGTTGGTGAAAACGCCAAGTGAAAAGCCATGCGATAATTTGTTGTAAAAAAATGAAAAATTTTCACCATTTTCAGTTGTTGTTGTTCGTTTCGTTTATTATTGCCTTTTGTTGCTGTGGCTGCCTTTATCAAATTTCATTTAAATGCTAATGAAAAGTTGCCGGAAGTGTGGAAAGCGCTAAAGCGAGTCGCTGGCAAATTATATAACTTTTTCTTTTTCTTTTTTTTCTTTTTTTTTTGTTTTTTTTTTTTTTTTGGTGAAAAGCAATAGTCTTTCGTTTTTCCCAATGAGCAGCTGCTGCTGCAGTCGAAATCAAACCAGTTTTCCTGCACTAAAACGATTTATTAAATTTCTTTAACGCGTGCTCTCCCTTCATTTGTCATATATCCGTATAGATATACATATATATGTTTGATCGAAGAGCCCACACAAATGGTTGATCCCCCAGGGAGTTGGGTTCTACTTTCGTTGATTTCCTCCCATCCATGACCAACTGGATTCGTTGCATCCCAGCTGGCGGATGTTTGTTAAGACCTTTTCGGCCTAAGCTGAGATCCTTTTTGACCACTCACATGCCATGTGGGTTTGCGCTGCAGCAGAACTAATGATTTCACTGGTAACTAAGTAAGCGAAACTAATGGCATGACTAAGGGAAAAGGTGGGACGCGAAGAGGGAATTTATGACTAAGGTGTGTGTTTGCCAAACAATTTGAATTTATTTACATTGACCCTTTAGACAAAAGGTATCGCCATTGTTTATGGTGGATTTTAAGAGGGAATAGCCCGTGTTTACAAACTTACTAAATGTTTTTGTTTAAGGTGAAACAAAGAAGAAAAATCTTACTAAAATTAGTCATAGTTTTTCCACCTTTAGCTTTTTTTTATTTGAAGTTCATGAAGTTCTGATTGCTTCTTTTCTTTGTTCCCAAGCTTAACCTTCTTTTGGCCAACGAAATTTCTGTGACTTTGTCATTCGCCTTGTGGCGCCAAACAAATGATTTTCAATGTCATAACTAAACAAAAATGTTTGGCTCTCTCGCGGGGGGCCCTTGCCAGCTGTAAGAGCAATAAAGATAGGTATACTTTTTGGTTAGCGATGGGGAGAGAGGAGGGAGAACTTGAAGCCGAAGCCCCAATGCCAAATCAATGTCATTAACATTAAGGCACACTCACTAAAAATTGAATAAAGCGGCATGGCTTGGCTTCACTGAGTGCTAAAAACGCGGTCTACGGTTTGTTCACCTTGACGAGCTGCGTCAACCTTTTTGATGGCTCACACACTCGTACGTATAGTTACACACTCTCTCGCACACACACGAGGCCCATTGAAGGTCCTTCAGCTGGATTTGATGATGGCCATCAAATCGCCAGCAGCCGCAGAAAACGGGCAGCACCTTGAAAATCTCAACCTTGTCGAGCTGAGCTGAGCTGTAAATCGCTGCTCGTGTGCCGCAGCCTTGCACAGATTTTTCCGACTTTTCCTACGCTTGAATGTGCACAGAAAGAATATACCCAACCCTTTAAACTTGGGGAAATTATATTAATCTAATTAGTTGATTTAACTTACTCGTTTCTCTTCTATCTTTCACTTTTAAGTACAACATTTAATTAATATTTAATAATTATAAAAAAAATACAGATTGTTTCTCTCAGTGTAATACAGCAGCTTCCTCTGTCATTTACCGTCTTCCATCTGCATCTGCGCGACTAAAAACACACACACATAAAAAGAAACTGTTATTGTTGCTTTTGTGTGTCAGCAGATCCTTCTTACTTCCCCCTCTCTCCCTCTCTCTCCCTGTCTCTCACTCTCTGCCCAACCATTTTGCACCTTTGTAAGGTGAGCGAGTAGCTCACGTTCACCTTCACCCTCAACGGCTGACCCATTGTTTGTCAATTTTCCACTCCTGGCTAACATTTTCCTGGTCCATTGTTTGCTGCCATCATCTGCAGAGCGTTTCTTTTAAATCCTCCTCCTCCTTCTGCCTGCCGAGATTTTCCTTTTCGACCATCAGTCAGTTTTCCTTTGCTGCTCCTGCGCAACGGTTGTGTTTTCCTTGTGATATTTCAAACGTTAACGTTTACTTTTTTTCTTCTTTGCCGTTCTTTTGACAATCTCTTAACGCGTTTCAAAAGCTTTAAAAGCTCAATCTTTATCTCGATTAGATCTCTCTTTCGCTGTTAATAGCTGATTTCTGTGCGGAATAACGGACTTCGAGAACCAATCTTCAGCCATTATGAACGCTGCACTTTTTGGCGCATTCCATTTCGTCTTGTCCATGTGTCTCGTCCATCGTTTAAAATAGCTAATATAACTCTGAAGAACTTGAAAACTGTATTTGAAAGTGTTTTTTTGTTAAATCAAATTGTGTGTGATTTTTGTGTGTTTTTTTTAACGGGCGGCAAGCTGGAGAACTCGCTGCTGTTGAAGCTTCTCAATCTTTTGGCCAGGCACTCGAATTCCGACAGTAAATTCGTCAAAGTTGAATTCGAGCGCAGCATCATGGATCTCATACAAGAGCCAAGGTGACCTTTAGATTCTAAACCCTTCTAAGATTATATCTAAGATTTAAATAGCTATGTTTTGATAGGTCTTAATAGGTCTCTCTCTATGATATTATTTTTTTACATCCTAAAATTTCTTCTTTCGAATTTCCCTTTAAACTTCTCAACTAATACTCAATATTTTCCCTTGACATCTTTGCAGATTGCCGGTGAACGAATGTCAGGCAAGCCAAACAGCTAGAGTCACCTCGAACCTGCACGCATCCAGTAGCACGATGGCGGTCAGCCGTGTACCCTCGCCGCCCTTGCCGGAAGTTAATACGCCCGTTGCCGAGAACTGGTGCTATACGCAGGTAAATCCTCATCCACCTCCTCCTTCCTTCTCCCCAAAAACGGATTAAATTTCCGTCTGAGTGGGTTTCTGGCATTCCTATGGATTTGCAAACATCTGAGCCAAAAAAAAAAAAAAAAAACCGATCGGATTTCACGAATTTCTGTAAACTGAATCCATATTGTTGTAAAGACGGTAAATGCATTTCCGCTGGGAATGCAGGTAAACAGGTGTGTGTTTTTCACTGGCTCAGATGTGGGAAATCTGATAAGTTTGTTACATCATTATTTACATGGGATATTATTAACTGTATTTAAATCTTTTCTATTCCCAGGTCAAAGTTGTTAAATTTAGTTATATGTGGACCATAAATAACTTTAGTTTTTGTCGGGAAGAAATGGGTGAAGTACTCAAATCGTCCACATTCTCAGCCGGTGCTAATGACAAACTGAAATGGTAAGTAAAAAAAAAACTAAACTACCTAAAATATAATTTCCTTATTAATTATTTAAATTATTTAGGTGTTTACGGGTTAACCCCAAGGGTCTCGACGAGGAGAGCAAGGATTACCTTTCATTATATTTACTGTTAGTTTCGTGTAATAAATCAGAAGTCAGAGCCAAGTTCAAATTTTCCATACTGAATGCCAAGCGTGAGGAAACCAAAGCCATGGAATCCCAAAGGTATATATAATCTTAAAAATTTTTTTATATTCTATAAAACTAATATCAAAAACATTTATGTTACAGAGCTTACCGTTTTGTTCAGGGCAAAGATTGGGGTTTCAAGAAGTTCATCCGCCGTGATTTCCTGCTGGACGAGGCCAATGGCCTGTTGCCGGAGGACAAGCTGACCATCTTCTGTGAGGTCAGTGTCGTGGCGGACAGCGTGAACATCTCCGGACAATCCAATATCGTACAGTTCAAAGTGCCGGAATGCAAGCTGTCCGAGGATCTCGGCAATCTCTTTGACAACGAGAAGTTCAGCGACGTCACGCTCTCAGTGGGCGGTCGAGAGTTCCAGGCGCACAAGGCCATATTGGCAGGTAAGATATAACTTATTTTAAACTCTTTTATTGAACATTTTATTAATTATTATAAATTATCAAATTTACAGCGCGCAGCGATGTCTTTGCGGCCATGTTTGAGCATGAGATGGAGGAGCGTAAGCTGAATCGTGTCGCCATAACCGATGTGGATCATGAGGTTCTTAAAGAAATGCTGCGATTCATATACACGGGCAAGGCGCCCAATTTAGAAAAAATGGCTGATGATCTCCTAGCGGCTGCTGATAAGGTTAGTTTGCCTCTGCAACCCAAATTCTAATTAGTTTATTAATAAAATGTATATTTCATATATACTTACAGTATGCACTCGAAAAGCTGAAAGTGATGTGCGAGGAGGCGCTGTGCGTCAATCTCTCTGTAGAAACAGCAGCCGAAACACTAATATTAGCTGATCTCCACAGTGCGGATCAATTGAAAGCACAAACGATAGATTTCATAAATACGTAAGTTATTAAATATAACAAAATAATCTTTAAGTTAACTAATTAATGGATTTTTAAATCATTTATAGTCATGCCACCGATGTGATGGAAACCTCTGGCTGGCAAAATATGATCACAACACATTCACATTTGATAGCGGAGGCATTTCGTGCGCTCGCAACACAACAAATCCCACCAATTGGACCACCAAGGAAACGCGTGAAAATGAGCTGAAACAACAATGCAACAACAACAAAAACAACAACCATACCAACAGCAGCAACAATAATTACAGCAACAGCAAATCGTACACCAGCAACAATCAACAACCAGAAACAACAAGAGCAACCACAACAACAACAACAACAACAACCCAAAACCAACAATCGATTCAACAACAAAAGTGAAAACCACAACAAATGCAGCAGGCATGTTAAATATTTGATCGATCGATTGACGGCCAACCTCAAGAATACATACGGCAACAATACTACAAACAATATAATAAATTATAACAAATTCAGAAAGTTAATAATGCAAATGCATAAGCAGAAGCAGCAGCAGCAGCAACAGCAACAGCAGTACCGTTTATTGTTTCGATTTCAAGTAATTTAATTCACTTTGATAAAAACACTTGATTTTAAATGTATTTTATTTGTTGATTTAATATTACCTATGATTAATATGTTTACGAGTAATAATTATGAATTAATTTTAATTTTAAGTCCAAACACAACTTGAAACGTCAAAAAAAAAAAAACAGCAGCAATTAAAGAAAACAAAACAAAAAAACATTAATAATACAAACAAAAAAAAAGAGCATAAAACACAAAAATGAAAAAATTAAAATAAATTAAATTTAAAGTAAAAAGTAAAAGTAAAAATCGAAGGCATAAATACAAAGTAAAAAATAAAGAAAATTCACTGAGAAAGCGTAACTATTATTATTATTATAATTATAACGATTATGATTACCGATTACTGCGTATAATTACAAAGCGTACACTTTGATTGTGATGTATATTCGATGAGTATGACTAATGAGTAACGAGTAACGAGTAACGAGTAAATGAGTAATGATACGGATATGATAATGAAGTTGATTTATATATTGTGTATATGTAAACTCGGAACAATTTTCAAAGCATTCAAGGTTTTAATTGCACGCCCACACACACCCACCCACTCCACTGTCGTCCCCCCACCATATATTTCTCTATATATTTCAATATTTATCGCTGAATTTCACTTCTTTACTTTTAGTTTTTCGTTGCTTCTATTCTTCTATTCTTTCTTTAAGTATTCGAAATCCGAAAAACTTGTTTCTCTTTGTTTAAGCGCAAAATGTAATTAATTTGTTGTACAAAAAACTATAAAAACAAACGAAACATTGTCGAAATAAAAGCAAACAGTAGCAATTTGTGTATAGTAAGCAGATAAAAACTGAAAAAAAAAAAAAAAAAAAAACATTAATGCATCCGATTCATTTTGTAAAAGGGGAGATTCTCTTGGGCTTGGGTTTCTCTTCTGATTGTTTCAGAACATTTCAACAATTTTCCACACAAAACAAACAAAGGTTAAAGAAGTACGAGTAAAATAAAACGTGATAAACAATTTATCTAACTATTAAAAACAAGAGGGAAAACCAGCAACGCAGAAAGAGTTGACATTTTTATATGCTACAAAAATGCAGATCGTATGTGTACAATTCAGGTATTCAGGAAAGGATAGAATTTTTGCAATAAAGTTAAATAATAATATTGATAGGAGATGATGAGCAAACGCTAGCAAACTATGAACGATTTCCATTGTATGTGTACTTCCGATTGACTTCGCATGTGATTTGCTATCAAGAAAAGTGTGTAAATAAACTCTAGACTTAGTCGCAGCAATTACATATTTTTGTTTCGAGTGCACAATTAACTAGTTACAAGTCCAATGCTTTAATCTGTGTACGTGCGTGTCTGTATAGTAAATAGGTAACCGATATTAGCCTTTGGAAATGGATGGGAGCACGGGATGACCGCCTAGGGAGTTCTATTAATTTGGCCAATGCTTTAGCTATATTTTTATTTTACGCCTCAACTAAAATCGTAAACTAATCTATAAATTACGGTCATCCCTGAAGTTAGGAGAAGCACTTAAGGAGTGTTAAGTTTTGTGTAGCACAGCTCGCGCAATATAGGAGCGAAATCAGTTTAAGGAAAGACAAAACTAGCCATCTAAAATGTGTATCTAGTAAAACCGACAACAACTTTTATGCATGCCAATCTAAATGTGTAGAAATTGACAAACCAAGAACGAAAGAAACTCTGCACTTATGGGCAATTCAAGTGACAGACAGACAGAGCAACACGACATTTTTAAAAGCGAAATTGTAATTGTATTTAACAATATTAGATAATAAATTAATATGTTCTAAAATTACATGGATGGCTTCTTCTTATTTCTTCTCCTGCTCCTCAAGGAACTGTTGCAGCAGTCCGCCATCTATGGGAATGGTTAACTGTTCGGAACCGTCAACGTTTCGCTTCGATTTGACCAATTTGTGATCGAGAAACTCGGTAAGCTGTGCGCGCAGGGCTAGATCTGAACTGACCAAGAAGGCTTCGCGACAACTCGAATACAGGTCTTTGAACGGCATCCCTTGGTATGTGGCGTTGCCCTTGTTCTTAAGTTGGTATTTAACAATCACCATGTAGATACCACGCGAGTTGGTTGTCAGCGAGGAGAATACGCTGCGCATCGAGGAGAGGGCTAGTTCGCCAGAATTCTGCACCAGCAGGGAATTCTCGAAGGCAGTCTCATTCGTGTACGGCAGCATGGTTGTGCAGTCCCACCACGAGAAGTTAAAGCTGCTCAGTTTTCCTTGATCCCAAACTGCCAAAAAGGATGGATTAATAGAACATTTCAGAATAATTTATAAACTTATAGGACAACTTACGTAATGGCGTATTTATGTGATCGATAGAGGCCAGTAGGTGGATGTTTGGCACTCGCGCCAGTCGCGATAGAATCGCCTGTGCCTTTATATTCCGCAACATAGCTCCATCCAAATTGTGAACAATTAAAAACAAATGTGTTTCAGGTATCAAAGAAAACTCCTCTTCGATCATGTCCACCGCTTCGTGTGGATTGGCCGGACTAATGCCCGCATCCAATATCTCACTTGTGATGCTGTCCAACATATCCTTTAGTGTTAAACTTGGAAAGAAACCATTCACCACCAGCACAGTTTGTTTTTCCAAAACCTCGCGGTGGAATGACTGCAGCAACTGTCGCTTGGAGCCCAATCCGTACAGGAGTATGTTAAAACCCTCGTTCAGAATGCACATCCACTTGGGAAAATATGAGCGATACTCCTCCATAATGGCATTTATGGATCCCTCGTGCTCCGTGGATAGCTTGATTTCAGATAGCAAACTAAAGACTCGATCGGCAGCCAGTCGGGGATTTTTTCAGACGATCCAATGTGTGATCCGATGTGAGGATTTTGCTGCTGGCATGCGAATGGAAGTAGCCATCGCTTTCGGGCACAAACTCATTTGACTTTTTGGCCCTCGCCGATTGCCGGAGTCGAGCTGCCGATGGCGTTTTCGGTAATACAGGCACCACAATTGTGCGCCTTGCAGGGCAGGGCGTCTTGGGCTCATCATCGGCTGCATCATTGTCTGACGAATCGCCGCCATCGCTACTACTGTTACTGCTGGAGGATGATTCCCCATCACTGGGCTGGAAATCGCTTTCATCTCCGGAGAAATCAGCATCTGAGTCGACCACCATTTTGGCGATATCTGGAAAGATAAGAAATTTTTTTAAGAAATTAATCAACGGAAATCTAACTAACGCAACTCACGATTCTTCACACGGCTGCGCACATGAGCTGGTGTCTTAGGCTGATCCGTGGACTTCTTTCGCTTGGTGTCCGGCGTTTTGACTCCCAATCGCGGAGTTTTAGGTGTCTTTGGCGTGCGGGGAGTGGCCTTTAAGGCAGCCATGGCCATGCCATCGCGTTTTTTTGGAGTATTAAAGCCAAACATGCTGGTGCCAGCCACATTGTACTCGGACTGCAGAAGATGGATATCCTTGGACGTTGGTCGGTCTGCATTCTCAGACTCGTCTATGATTTCTTCTTCATGCTCCTGATCCTCCGTCTCACTGGCCATTTCATCTGACATTTCCACATAGTTCAGCACTATGCGCTCCTCCTGGTCTTTTCCGTTGGTTTCGTCTTTGTAGGCTTGGTATTTTTTGGTGGGACTCGGACGACGGGTAGAACGGCGCCTGGTAACCGGGGATTGCGATTCCCCGGTATCCTCAAGAATAGCCGTGTCCAGATCCTCCGAACCTTCCTCTGAATTTGTAATGTTCTCGATTGACTTGAGGTTTTGCTTAAGCGGTGTCTTGTAACCGCTTTTGTTACTGGCACTCATCCTGCTTGCCAATGCGTTGAGACTTCTTAGTTTCAAAATATTCAATTGGTAAACAAATATTTCGCGAAATTTACTCAATGCCCAGAAGAGGCGGGAATTATCGAAAGAAACGACGTAAGGCAATAGTGTGGCCGTGTGTGTGTAGTGTTCAAAAAGTAGCTAAAAAAATTTAAAAATACGTTTCTTTCTCTTAAATTTGAATGTAAAATGAGTTATTAAGCTCTCTCCTCCGTGTTAAGATATAAATTCCCTGAATTAAGTTAAATATCTGCAAAAGTAGCAGGCTATCAAACTATCGATATTCGATAAGTTGTTATGGTAGCTGACAAAAGCTGGCCTTTGTCTGCCTTCTCTTATCGTTTTCGTTGCAATAAAGCGCGTGTGTAATTTAAAATTTAAATATTTAAAAAAATTCTACGGAGGTCGGTTCAAAATAGGTATCCCAGTTAAATAAACGTGTTATTTAAATTCGAAAACATTTAAAGTGGTCGCAAATCAAATATTTACGCATTGTGAAAGAATTACGCAGTTCACCATCAGAAGTTCCGTTAACCCGCCATTTTCATTGGCCTCTTAATCGTTTCATTCATTCGTTAACTTTTGTGATTGTTCCTAGAAACTTTTCATTGAAAATTCCGGGAAAATGGCGAGTTCAGAGAAAAGTATGTGCATTGTATGCGGAGTACCAGCAGGATTAATGTGTCAGCGGTGTGCAGAACCGTATTGCAAGGAAGAATGCCAACGGTTGGATTGGCAGAGGCACAAATACTATTGTATTGTTATGCCGTGAGTAAAAACATACATAAGTAAAAGTTTAATAAGCTTCGTGAGCTCTGTGCGCTTTGTTACCTATTAAATGTACATAAATATGTACGTATTGTATTTACAGACCCTTGGTGTCCTACAAACCCCTTCAAAAGTCGCCAAATTCAAATGTTCCTCTGGCTGCCATTTCACCAAAAAGCTCAGTTTCGATCGAAAAACCAATTCCAGCTCCTCAGGATACAGTGGAGTCGACTTCTGTCATCGTAAAGGATCAAGAACTCTCAAAAAATTGGCGCGATCACATGTTGCCAAACGGTAAGGAATTCTTTGAGTGCCGCGTGACCTTCATGGAGAACGATGGACCAATCTGGGTTGTTAACGTGGACGATATAGAGAGTATGGAGTGCATGACGGATACCATGCAGCGCTGCATGCAAAATCAGGAGCTGATTCCCATGAAATACGTGAAAAAAAATACTTTGGTGATCCTAAACGTAGAAAACAAGGTTCACCGCGGGCACGTTTTGACCGTCAGGAAGAAAAAAAAAGAGGCCGACGTCCAATTGATTGACTTCGGGCCGATAGTGAGCACACTCTTCCATGATATCTACTTAATTGTTCCGAAAATGGCGGAGTACAATGCTTTCGCTTTCCGGGTGAAACTCCCCTACGAACACTGGGGTTCAGGTCAATAAGAACCTGACACTTCGTCTGCTGGGAACCAAAACCCACAACGGTGTTTACCACGTCCATATTAAGCCCACGACTACCATACCACTAAATCTACCTGTAGAGATTCTGCAACTGAATCCGGAGGTTAAAGTGATCCGAATCTTTGTGAAAAATAAAACGTTAAACGAGCCGCATTGTGCTCTTCTCAAGATTAATGCAATAAGGGAAATGAACGATGACTTAAAAGCTTGTTTCACTGGAAAACCAGGACAACAGTTCACCGAGCCTTTTTCAGAAGAGAAGGGTTCGTTCTTTGTGGCCGCCCGCACTGAGGACGGCTTCCGGCGAGCTATTCTACTGGATCATATCGAGGGGTCCACTCCCATGTTCTTGGTTTACGAGATAGACGAAGGTCGGGTGTCTGTAACCACCAAACTCAGTCGCATTCCCAGCGAGCTACTTGGTCTGCCCATCCGTGTGTTTGCCGCTGAAATCAAAGACACTGTTCCAAAGGAACTTGAGACTGAAGGAGCACAACTGTCGGTAAAGTTCAAGACTCCCAACCCGCTTGCAAACGAAAAGTTGCGCACCGCCCATGCCGCCTTGTTGGCCAACGGTGAGCAGATTTGTATGGCCCAATTGAGCACATTCTTGGGTCTGATTTCTGATTTGGGCCACAAGTTTTGGCGGGAAACCATCAATGACTATACCACAGTATATATAACTCATGTAGTTACCTACAAGGAATTGTATATAAGCTCTCCGAAGGCTAAAAAATATGAAGAAATCTTTAAGCGTCTAGAATCAAAGTGCGCTCCTTTCCAGGAGTCCAGCGAGGTATCCATTGGCAGTATCGTACTGGTTATCTCAAAAGATATTAAACCTTTTCGCGGCGAAGTTAGTAACTAAACACATTTAAACACTCATTTGCAATTTAAATTACCTTTTCCTTTCTTACAGATAATGAGTATTGAAGAAGAAGACTATTATGTGCTGAACATTGATACGGGTGTCACCAAAAAGGTGGAATTAACGGCAATGCGCAAGTCTTGTCGCTTTCTTGAAAACCTGCCCGTCTACCTGGTGCGTGTCAAGTTGAATACAGTCTGTAACATTCCGGATGCAGCTGTGCCAGTCAACAATGATGCCATTGATCTGCTGATCAAGCTCTCCACCACGGAAAAAAGCTAACCCTAAAAATTGTAGATGAGAGTACATCGACTGTGGACCTGCTATCCAATTCCAGTGACCAGCGATCCTTGGTGGCTCAAATGATGCCGTTATTGTTTACGTCATTAGAAAAAAACAATAAAGCTGCTCAGCCAGAAGCACAGAAAGAGTCAGTTAAGAATTGCGTTGCGCTGCCACTGTCTCCTCCTAAAACTCCTCCTTCTGTGGAGAACAGCAGTAAAACGATTGAAAATGCATCAGCAAATATGGCCAATAAAGAGTCCTTCGAACGATTTCTTTTCAATGCTGTACCTAAGAATCCTGTTGCATTGGGAGACAAGGTCACCATTATCATTTTAAACGTTAACGATTTGCCAGAAAAGGGATTCATCACTGCTTGTTCCTTTGAGAATGAAAAGGTGGCCAAGGAATTTCAGGATTTGCTTATTTTGGTAGCCCAGCATGGAGCGTGCGACGACAAAAGTGTGCCGGGATATATACCGGGGTAAGCATCTTTTAAACTTATAAATTAAATATAATAATCTGATTTTGTTTTGATTCCTCGATTGCAGTATTGGTGAAATGTGCTTGGCCGTCTTCAGCGAAGACAAAAGCTGGTATCGCGGGGTGTGTCAGGAGGTCAGGGACAATAAGGCAAAGATTATTTACTGTGATTTTGGTAACTCAGAATATGTGGCCTTGGAAAATCTTAAGCCGATTCCCGTTGATCTTCTTGGTTGTGTCTATGCCACCAAGTGCTATATAGATGGTATTTATGATTGCATTAAGTTCACTCTCAGCATTTTTATTTTCCCCCAAATTTCAGGATTCGACAAATCAAAGAATTTAGCCGCGTTAAAGCGTCTCCTTCTGGACGAGGGCAAAATCTTGTGCGAAGTTAAGATTGGCCCCGAGCCCGATACGCGTCTTATTACGATTTCCAATCTGCAGAGTATACTGAAAACACCATCTGTTTAGTTTAAAAGGAGTTTCCAATTTTCAAGATAATGACCAAATAGATCGTATTCCTTTTTATATGTTTCTAGCGTTAAGTTTACACCAAAGTGTATTTACAAACTCGATTTCGATAATCATTTTTTTTGTAAACGTTTTCATCAGGACAAGACTTAGCTGGTCTAAAGATCATTTAATTTTTCTTTTTACATTTTTTCTAACAATTCACAACATTTAATTTTTTTATAATTTGTAGACTTAAGCACTTTTGAGTGAGTCGTGAGTTGAAATTATCTGATCTATTACAAACATTTTTAAAAAGCGGACCATCTTTAATTTGGTTAGAATGTAAATAAAAGTAAAAAAAAAATTATAAATAAGTTAAATAGTAAATAATATAATTATTATTCGACTCACTCCTGAAGCCACATATATCGAATCAATTACAACAACAATAATGAGATTACAACAATAACAACAGCATTCATTGCTCCGCCAGTTTCGCTAGCAACTCGTCCACAACATTGACATTGCGTACAGAGATAATGCCACCTGCATTTCGCTTCCAATCAGTGTCAGATTCATTATCCTCTATTAGGTACTTTAAGGCTACTGCCTTCTGCTCCGCCACACTGGCTGTATAGTCTAAGACATCTCCACCGAGTGCCCGTAGAATGGCTTGAGGAGCACATGTGTCCCACTTGAAGGTTGATCCTTTACTAAGCAGATATACATCCACCTCGTGTGTGATCACCTTTAAGGCCTTATGACCAGCACCAGCAGAAAAGGCAAACTCGTAGCCTAGATCGAGAAAGCGCTGTAGGATATCGGATTGCTCCGAGCTGGAGAAGATTCCTAACCGTCGGTTTTCATCCCGTGCCTCGAAATCGCAATTATGAGCCTGTAACGTTGACAGAGAAACACCCCAGAACATCGAGGAGCTGTACACGTTCTCCTCCAACTTCTCTCCAAATGGCTGGGCGACTACCCCGATTACCGGCACTCCAGTGTCCCGTTCGTAGACACCAATCAGTACGGTGACACAATCCAGTCCAGTGGATGTAATTCCGGGAAAATCAGTAAACATGGTATCGCCGGAAATGTACTCGGCGGTGGCATCTAAAATTTAAAATATGGAAATTTCAGATTCGGGTGAGTCAGAAACAAATATTTACAATTAATTTGGAATTCAATTTGGCTGTTGTTATTTGTTTATGTAGCAAAACGGAAATAGACAAATAAGCTGTTCAAAAAGTATAGTTCTGAGATCATATGATTTTTTTTTAGATCTATCTAGTAAATTTAAATGGTTTTATTCGTTGGCATTTAAAGTAGGAACGCACCAATGGGATCAATCCAGATGCCCAGATTGCCATAGTCCAGTTCCTCCGGCAGTTGAGGGATCTCGCCCAGCTTTTCGCTGTTAAAGCTGACATCCTTGTGGACTTCTTTAGCCAAAGCACTGGCAGCACCTTCATGGCCGCTGAGAACAGCTTGGAGACAAAAGGCAGTCTCCTCCTCACTTAAACCCACTGCTATTGTGACACTTTCGCCCAGTTGATTGGTGAAATTCGGGGATTCCTCGCCTAGAATAGCATCCTGCATGGCGGGAAATAGAGATCCCACCTCGTGCTTGATTGTCTCTTGGATAAGGACATCGGCCAGGGTCTTGAAGTCATGTTCAAACCGCTCGTTGGCCTCTGATCCCTTCTTTTCCTGCACTAACAATCCAAGGAGTTCCTCGTTGGAGCGACATGTCCTGGCAATGTTTGCCGCCTTCTCTGCGCAATTAATTAGTACTTGCAGCAGATTTGCCTGTTCCTCCGCACTCATCCTGATACTGTTATATTCCTTGGTCTATTTGAGTTCCATTTCCACACTTTTATGGCTTTTCCTTCTCCAGCTGTGAAATTTTATGGGCTTCCCTGTTTTAGTAAGGCAGCTGATTTTCCCGCCCTCAATACCAAAACGCTCGATTAATGTGACTGGAAAATGCCAATGACTGGGCACACGCCTTGAAATACTAAATACTGAAAAAGGGGAAATACTAAAAGAAGCGCGCAATTCGAATTTTAAAGTTATTGGTTATGTTTTTATTTTAACTACGCTCCCCCAAATATAGTAGTATTTAAAATGTTTAGCTTTAGCCACTGAAATAAGGAATGTAATTACCTACTTTACTACATTATTACTTATTTTCGTTACATCACTTTAATTTTTTGAATCCCTGCTAAGAGACCCCAAAATGTAATATTGTTAATTCAGGTCTTCACCCTAATTATGGCCGAAGGATATCCAGTTCTCTAGCTTTAAGTGTAGCTTTCACATCTTCATTGAAGCAATTTTAATTGGCAATTAAAAATTACGCACTCACCGCCCCTTTTGAGGAGCACTGAGCAGAGGCATGAATCATGGCCAGAAAGTAGAAGGAGCCCATGTTTTTTGAGGGCTTTGTTCCAGCTGCGACTGCTGCATAATTTGCACCCGATCTTATCAACGAGCACTGCTAATGATTCGCATTAATGATGCTGGCCTACATGGCCCACTCCCGCTCCCGCTCCCGATCCCGATCCCCACCAGGCCCTTCATTTTGGCTTACGCACTTTGGCATCTTTTGAAATGAGACCATCAATCAGTTTGTGGTAGTCGCCGTTGCATCCCATTCACTCCTTTTTCCCTGCGCTGCTGCATTTGCATATAAATTGCTGCTAATGTCGCGCTATCAAAGTGACTGCATCAATGTGGCATTCCTGCCATGCCTGGGCCATTCCCTGTTCCTTAACTCGGGCTTCCTGCACTCAGAAAAAGATTTTATAAGGTTCTTGTTTTTGGGTTTGATATTGAATATAATAAAGATAAAAATTAGTTAATGTATCAAATGGTACTTATTTCTGTAATTATTTAAGATATAACTAATGCTACGATCCCAGGTAATTTTGCACTTCCTTAAATCTCTGTTTCAAAGTTGAGATTATATATGCTTTCAGTTTAAAGATATCTTTATGAATTTACAAGGAATTTCAAATATGTTACTTCGTTATTCCTTGCAGTGTATGAATCCTCCCTTCCTTCTAGTTGGCCTTCGGGCAGGAGCTCCTCTTCATTCCGTCGAAACGCTTGGCTTATGCTAATTTTTTCCCAGGCCTCGCAGGCCATTGATGTTTGGATAACGTTGACTTGATGACTTTGCATAATTTACGTTGCAGCGGCAGCCACAGCCAGCATAAACACATTTTGGGCTGCTTTGGGTTAATTTTTCACTCAACCACGTTTACCATTTTAATGTGTTAATATTCATGGAGAAACAGCACCAGTCGGCCAACAATAACAATCTTCGTTGGCTGTGACTGGTGACGTTTCAATTTGGCCGTTGCGTGATCTTTGGCCAAAACATTTTTCAAACTGCCCCCGAAACTTGTGGGCATTTATCAACAGCTTCATTGGAGGCATTTGTCATCCCCTTTTTTTTAAGGAGTTTGTTACAAACATATTGCCAACTTTGGAGGTGAAGTTTGGGGTTAATGTATTCCAAAATTCTTGTAAAATTAATTTTTTTCATTTTTTAAATTTTAGGAAGAATTTAAAACGGATTTTCCGATTTGAAAATTACTTTTGTAAGCAAGTCACAAATTTAAACAATATCAAAATTTTAAAGTTAAGAAAGATTTAAAACACTTAAAATATTTTAAAAATTTTGAGACCAGATTCCAGTTGGTTAAATCAGTTAAATATAAAAGATGATTATTTTTAGTTAGATAAAACTGCAAATTTCTAAATTCTAATATTATTTCACGGACTACCAACTGTATAGAAATTAATGTAAATTCATAATAATTCAAGTTCGTGTCTGTTGTCTTTTGATGGACATTAGTTTAATTGTTTAAAACGCCGGTTGCTTTGTTATTTTTTCGGCCCCTTTCACATTTAACAGCCTTTTAATTAATCGCCCGAGTTGAACAAATTCTTAATGAGTCTTTAATTAATCGCCAAAGCGAAATGTTCGACGCTCTCGAAACACGAGAATATTTACATTTTATTGTGACTTGATTTCTGTGATGGCCTGCTTGATGTCCCTCTCCCTCCCACCTCAAGCACCGTCTCGCTTGCACCCTGAAGCATGGCTCCACCTCCCCGAGGTGTTAAAAACGAGTTTTGAACGCTTCCAAAAAATTAGTTGGCTCTTTTGTCCGCCGTTGCTGTTGGCTTGATTATTTTGGATGTTTTATTAATACGAAATGCCACCACAAGTCTAACAAATGTCGAATGGCTTGTGGTCTTAAGTTATGCGTGTGCGCTTCATTAGTTAGTCTAGCGGTTTATTCAATTTAATGGACGGGGGTGGGGTGCTTAAAAAATAAACAACAAAGAAAAAACAAGAATAAACCTTACCATTTATTAAGCCATCGTTATGGTCAGTCAAGTGCAACGGGGCGTATACGTGTTGTGGGCTTTCAATTGGCTCAATTGCCAGCGCCCACTCATCTAGCCATTGTAGCCACCTCTTGTTCTTTTGGCCATCTTCTTTGGATTTGCCAGCCTGCAGCTAAAACTGGATTGGATCCAAAATAATTCCATTCCACTCCTCGAGTTTTTCCGACCTGTCGATGCGGTTTAATTTATTCACTTCAAGGTGTTTGCCTTTTTACGCTCATTGGCAGCTCACTTCCTCGTTTCCCAACGATTCGGGCCATGAGTAATTGGCTTGGTGAGGGGAGAAATTTTCATTCATATTTGCATTTGCTAGTTAATTGTTTACATTTCGCCAAGCATGCGAAGGGAGTGGCTCTTAGATGACCAATTATACACCATATCCCGCGGGTAAATATAGATCTATGCGAGAGTTATTGAACTGGCATTAATCCGTGGCTGGCGATTACAGAAAATAATGGTGAAAGCGGTTGGGCGGGAGAAAATTGAAAAGGTTTTATGATTTTTTTTTTGGAGAAATTAAAGTAGTTAAAAATCTGTTCAAAGTGGACTTTCTTTGAATCTACTACTCTTTAGACCACCTTTAACCCCAAATCAACCAAATTTACATCCCCATCTGACCATTCCTAATTCCGTTTATCCCCGACAGAAGCCGAACCACTGATCCAATGGCCAGCACAACAGAAACGGCTCCTGCCACCGCATGTGTCCCATTGTGATCATGTTCGTTTTGGGCCCAACTTTTGACCAGCAATCCATACAAGCGAGCGGAAGCGTGAAATTCAAAAAAAAAAAAATAAAAATAATAACAAAACATGGGCCAATAATACAGATACAGATACAATAACAAATACAAATCTGTTTGGCCATTGCCTGGGCCAGTTGGCTATAAATTTTATGCATTTTGAGCATAGTTTGCCATTTTGCCACTTTAACATTATTGTTATGATGATAAGCGAGCCACAGTCGGAGGCATGGGGCACAGGAACAGAAAGAGAAAAAGGAACAGAAACGTTGCCTGGCCCAGGGAGAGATCGTTTCAGGCCCAACAGTCGTCTCCTTCACCAGACCCACCTCTTTCCAATGTCCAACTGTCCAGGTGTCTGGCCATAACGCATCCTGCCTTCTGCACTGGAAATTTGTTACATTTTTTTTTATAGAAATTTTTGAAATTACAAATCTTTAAAGCTTAATCTTTACAAATTTAATATACTATGATATCATCACAGTTATTTTGATTTAAAGATAAAAATGAAATTCTTTTTTAATTTTTAAAAGATTTTTCACAAGTTTATGTACATTTCCTTATTTTCAAGAATAAATACTTTTTAATTCTTATATTGATATAAAGAAATTCACCAGTTTTCCTAAGTGTCTTCTCCACCGTCTAAAGCTGTTTGCTGATCCCCAATGCGATCTCCGTCTTGTTTGGCTTTCCTCCGTATTTAAAACCATTTCATTTTCTGGGGGCCAAAGTGTGAATATAATTTAATGTATACGATTCGCAGTCGCGGTCGCAGTCCTCCAGCTTTTAGCTGCCCATCTGGGTAGCTGCGATTTTCAATATCGCAGCTTGTCCCTGCTGACCAGAGCGATTATTTATTGTGCTTGATTGGTTTTCAAGTGATCATAAAGTAAGTGATCGTTGGCGCTGTCCGTTGGCATTGAGTGGCCCCTTCTCTGGCGTTAATATGTAGATTTGGAGGCGTAGATTTATGTCCCAGTAGGGGAGGCGGAGTGGAAGTGTCTGATCAGGGGATTCACCCAACGAGTGGGCGGTCGTTTATAATGAATTTTGGGGTGTAGACAACTTCATCTGTTTCTTGAGAGAGTCAGCCTGGGTCATCCTGTATCCTGCTCGAATACTCTCCCACAAATGGCCTCCAACATTTTAACATTTAATTGACATTGATGATTGTCCAACTGGACAAGTCTGAGAACACGTTATCCCAGGTAGCAAGTCCGTCTGAGTGTGCCCGGCATACGAAAACTGCCAGGGAATTATTAATTTTCATATCGGAGTGGAGCTATTCGCATATGTCAGCTGTGCTCGCCATCAACTTGGACTGGACAGGGACATGGACATGAAGAAGACGTACGAAATAAATTCTGTGGCACTTGCAGACAGCCAGCAGACAAGGCCATGGGTGTGCACAGCAGTGGGGAAAATAATAGTAAATGCAAGTTATTATGAGGTCTAGTTAAGGCCGTTTAATCATATAATACGAAGACAGCATAGTATATCTAATTTTGGAAAAATAGTATGCGTTTATTATAACTTCATCAAGTGCATTATTTAGCTTTTTTAACACTTTAGCAATGAATCATAGATGCATTCAAGGGGATCTTATTTCTATAATTTCTCTTTTTAAAGGGGCTAAGATTGCGTTGCTGGGCGCAATCATTCAAAGTTTCTCTATTTGGTTTAAAAAGTTAAATGTCTGAAATCAACGCCAACTCATTGGACCTGGCTAGTCTCTTTTTTCCGCTCAGCTTGGCTTTCTTTGCCCCTTTGTTGGCTGTTGGCTGTGTGTTTTGTTTTCGCTTCTTTAAATGAACGTTATTAAGCAGATGTTTATCGCTGAGTGATTTATTCATTAAAAAAACATTTATTAGCTAGAAACAAGGTGGTGTACGAGTATGTGTGTGTGTGTGTGCGTGTGCGTGTATTCACAACACAACTCACACTCCGCACATTCACATTCACACATTTATCCATATGGCCTGGTTAGCCTCGCCGCCTCATTTGTGCCGCATTAAAATGCAAAAGCGTGTTTGTTCCTGGAAAAACTGCAAAGCCCCCCTGTATTTCTTTCTTTTTCTTCTTTTTTTTTTTATCAAATTGCGGGTGTGGACTCAACAGCCAGCTGCTGAGGCGTGCGGCTTTGTTTTATGAACTTGCATATTTTCACAATTTTCCTTAGTTCGGTGTTTGTGCGTGCGTTTTAATCACTTAATTAGAGAGCCACTTAATTGACTTGGACTCTGGTGGCGAATTATGCAAACAATCGATGTGCGAGTGTTGCAGGAAATGGGCCTAGGGTGGTCGAGTTCGTGTCTTAAGTCTTTTGTTCAGCGGTGCCTGGCAAGGCAATTGAAAGGTGGAGTTGGCCAAATAAGGAAAGTGAGTTTGGGATAGAAAATTTATATACAAATGTTGATATTTACATAAAAAAAACGCAATAAATGATTTTCTGTAGCCAAAAGGAAAATTAGCAAGTTGATTATGATAAAAATGTAAGAAAATGTATTTTTCTATTAAATTTTAAAATAAATTAGAATTTTTGCAAGAAGAAAACTTCAAAACAATTTATCAAAATCACATATTACTAACAATAAATATCAGTTATAGACTTTCCTCCCTCACACACCTAACAAAATATAGGTGTGATTTTATTTCCTAGTTAAGTTTCATCTGGTTATCGCTTTAACTGATTTTGATTGCCCTCCCATGTTCCCGTTTAACCCGTTCTTGTGGAGCACAATTAGCGAACGAAGCCATTCATTAGCCCCATTGCCTTTCCTCCACAAAAACCTGTTGATGAGCCAAACCCGATGGCATTGCCCGATTTCCCCAGTTTTGATTACATGTCCCCCAGATGCCATTTAGAGTGGGACACACCCATCGAATCGATCGAGTGCTGCAGTGGGAAATCGTCGCCACAATGCAGACATTTCAATTAGCCATTTGGCTAAACATAAGGTAAACAATCTACCCAATTCACTGATCTTGAACATTTCCAGTCAATGAATGCAATAACAAAAAATGGCACAAACTGAGTCGGAGGAGATGGTATAGCATAAATACTTGTTAGTCGCCATCGTCGTCGTCGTCTTTGGTTAATCACTCTCTGTACTCTGCTTAGAAAAAGTTGATAGTCTTTCCAACTTTCCAACAAAAACTTGGCCAGTTGACTTCTTCAGGCTTTTTGGTGTCATAAGGAAGCGTCCAAATGATTCATAATTTATGCCTGCCTGTCGTTGGCCATTGCCATTGCCATTGCCATGGCCATTCCCAATCCCTATTCTCGTGCCCATTCCTATTCCCAATCCTATTCACTGCTTTCGTTACTTAATTTTTCCAACTTAACGCTCCGGCTTGTGCCCCTTGGCGCGGCTTCCTCATCCTCTTTGGTCACCTATAATTGTAATGCATTTTGGGTTTGCACAGGAAAAATTGTATTTTCTTTTAAGAAATGAAAACAACAGGAAAATTTATATTATATCTGTAAGTTTTTCTTTTCTACCTCGTTTTTGGGTACTATTTTTTGAATTAGAAATGCTGTATATGGCTTGAGTTTTCTTATTTATTATTTTAAATATATTTTTTCTCTCTGTATAAATGCATGGCCGTCGACGCAGTGGCTGTCGTTTGTCTGGTCCGATGATAGTTGAAAAAATTACTTACAAATTACATGCGTAGCTTATGCCCCCGTGCCGCCGTTGGCTTAATGTGCAGGAAAATGCTGTGAAAAACTCGGGGAGGGGTAACTGACTTGTTGGGGTATTAGTGTTGTGGGTCTCGTGGCCGGATCGTAAATTGCATTTTCCAATTGAATTCTGACCACTGACAGTTTGGCCGAGGTCGTCACACCAATACGACAGCCAACAAATACCCTTAAATGAAAATGGTTTGGGCCAAGTAAGAAAAAAAAAACGTTAACACCCATTTCCCAGAACATGAATGTGGTTAATTTCCCATCGTTATGGCCTTTTTGCAGCGATGTGACATGCTCATTAGCATATAAATATTGTTGTAATTACGTCTGGTAAATAATGCAATTTTGCCATTTTTATAGACCATGCTTGTGCTAAATTAAAATTATTATAATTGAGTTAAAAACAGGCGAATAGAGGGCGAAGGGCTTAGTGGAATTTCGCATGGCTTAAAATGCACCACGGAACATGGCCATAAAGTGTAGCTGCGTTTAGCTTAAACAAGTCGACAATTTAAAAAGCCAATTTGCGCATAATACGACGAACGTGAGCGAAAATTTAAAACAGAACTGCACACGCACAAAGGCGGGGAATAAATAAATATATATATGTACTTATATCTACTATATATATAGCCAAGTGCAGGTAGCGTGTTGTGCAAATTTCTACGCAAATGACCATTAATGCAAATGCTGTTTGCTCATTAAAGAAACATTGCCCGCCCACCCAAATGACCCAAATTCACTTGCCATTCGAATGGTGGCTTTGTCGGAATATATTCAAACACTTGACCATAAGTTTCCGTTATATGTTTTTAAGTTTAGGATATCAAAAAGAGTGTTCTAACATTATTCTAAACATATTGTGTTTTTTTTTTATTTTTAAGGGCTTTATTTGTATTCTAATATGAAGGTAAGAAAGCTTTTTATGCAGATTAAAATATACATATTTGTAAATAGTTTAATTGTGAATTTTAATATTACGTTTTACGAAAAAAGGAAGAAATAATTTTTCGCCTTAACCCTTTTTGCAATTTAGCGTTTTCTAGCACTACCCACTAGCTTATCAATCGATCTGGCATCACCCTTTTAATCCCGTAAAAGGTCATATGTTTATTTGCGGCCAAGAAAACTTTGAGAAGTAGGAAAAGTTAAAAGTTTCATAAAAAAACTTTTACAAAAATGGGACGAAAGCGTGTCAAGTGGCCTAGCATTTACAATCGGCGACTTCGTCTTCGCCAAGGTACGTGGTTACCGAGCCTGGCCTGCTCGTATTCTGAATCGAGCTGGTACAACGGCATACAACGTGTACTTCTATGGAACCTGCAACCACGCCAGAGTGTCTCGCAAACATATCTTCGACTTCGAGAGTCACCAGCGTCGGTTGGGTGAGGTTCGATCTAAGGGTTTCGTCTGTAATCGAGATTTCCGGGGTGCCATGCTGCACGCCCATCATGCTTTCGCTAAACCGGAGAAAGATTTTGGGTTCTACCAGCAGTTAGCCGTACATAATAATGAGTCCGCCGATGATGAAGCCAGTCTGCAGGAGAAGGAATCTGAGGAACAGGATGTCGAAGATCTGAAAATGAACTCTTTGGTGACTGATGATGAAGCCAGCCTGCTGGAGAAGCAATCTAAGGAACAGGATGTCGAGGATCTGAAAATGAACTCTGAGGTGACTGATAATGCAGGTAGCCTGCAGGAGAAACAATTCGAGGCACAGGATTTTGAGGATCTGAAAATGGACTCTGCGGTGGCTAATGAAAAAAGTAGCTTGCAGGAGAAACAAATTGAGGATCAGTATGCCGAAGAGGAGAAGTGGATGCATCAGCTAATGATGGAGGAGGAGCTGGACTCCGAAAATCAGCCGGACGAACAGGTTGTTGGGGCAAAGGATAGACCGGAAAAAAATAATTTTGAGGGGCAAAACTTGAACATAGAGCTAGAGGAGCAGGACTCCCAAGAGCAATACTCGATGGCTCAATTAACTCCTTTAAATTCACAGAAGCTTCATTCCATTTATCAGCAGGATGATGAGAAATCTGAAGAGCTGGACTCAGAAGATGAAATGGAGGAGCAGAAGTTGCAAGCTACCCAAGATCCCTATGTTATGCCAGTTGCCTTAAAGCAGCACTCATTGCCTCAGTTGGATGGCCTGGATTCGGAGGAACTTGACATCAGGACACCTGACCAGATTTCCAGAGATCAGCTCGACAAAGAGGTGAGGGAGCTAATGGAAATGCTGGCGGATATCGAGGACTATGCTCGTAAACAAAATCTTGACAATGTTGAGGATTTATATTACTTCAACGAACCGTTTAACCTATTTTTCCCTCGTCGTCGCTAAAGCCAAAATAAAGGACCAACACACTCCGAAATATGAATAAGTGGTTTTCGTTAGGACTATGAAATGTTATGTTTGTTTTTTAAACTTACTTGGACTTTCAAATTTACTTAGCTCCTCAATATGTTCAAACTATGTTTAAAAGTTATGTATTTATAACTTTCGTAAAAATCTAAAATGGTATTTAGAAATCTAAAAGGTTTTTCCTGTTTCATGTATTAACCTTTACAGGTAAAAAAATACCTATATTATGTAAGATCTACATACCAAGAACAACAACGACTTCCTAGGTCTAAACTTGATTTAGAAATGTATGTAATATTTACCTCAATCAACTACAAAAACAAAATATGTCGCGCATTTCAAATGTAACTAAATTACGAATTTTCATTCGCTTCAAATTCATTTAGAAGTAGAGACAAAAGAAGTTCAGAATTTATGTTTTATGTTCAAAATATCTAAGATAGTTAATGGATGAAAACTTTTTCAGTCGAAATGAATTTTTGCTTTGTTTATAATTAAACCTTATAATAAACACAAATTCGCGTTATTATCTAAAGATATTTAAAGTAGATGACTTCACATAAAGTAATAGAAATGAAAGCACTTGTTTTTTAGGACACAGCAAGATTTGAGCTAACCGAAATGGATTTCGGGAATTGGCGTCCCATTAAGGAGGCGTGGGCGTGCCTTTGGCCATAATGTCTGCTGCGTGATCCTCCACTGCTGACCTCCACACATCAACCAGCCTTGGTCGCTAATCGAAGCTCGACTTGGGGCACGTTTCCGCATTAAATGCTGCACCATCAGCATGGGGGAACCCGCCCATCAACCTAACCACCCTCGGGGATGAGTTTCCCCCAGAGGCGTTCGCTGGATAGTTTAGCTAAATGCCGTCGTAAAAGAACGCCGGCCGTTAAACCGACAAGCTGGGCAGCCAAAGTCAACAACCAACATTCCCACCCTACTTTTGGCAGATTTAATTGGACAATGCCAAGAAACTGGAGGAGGAGAGACTTACCAGGCAATGGTGTACAAGCTGGGATGAGGATGCTTCGATTAACAAATTATCGCCACCGCAGCAAATTAATCGCAACAGTCTGGCATCTGTAAGACCAAGTACAGGAATCTGTATCTGGGTTAACGAGAGGACGACCGATGACCGCAAATCAGATTCACTAAGCCGGCAATGAGATTTCCCGACCGCATCAATTTGTTTTAATGCCAGAAATGTTTTAGCATTGCTCCAACAGATTGCAGCAGCTGCCGGAACGAAACGCCAGGAGCTGCATCCGAAGCTGGAAATGCACTGAGAAAAATGAAAGTATAAAACCTAATAATTTCCAATATTTGCCTAGCCCCTCCAAAAGTTTAAGCCGTGAAATCTTTAGCTTTTATAATATTGAAAGAGATAACTTTTAACTCAAGCTATTGAGGTTTTATTGCTTTATTATTTCCATAGTTTTACTTACATTTTGATTAAACAATTTTAAATTAACAAATACTTTTCCGAGTGCATAGGAGATTCTGTTGCAAGATCCCTTGGTGGATCCAGCATCCTTGGTCTGCTCGACAGCTGTCTGCTAAGGGGGTTAATCTTTGTCCTGTGTTATTCTGCGGTCTGGATCGGCCAGATTGTTAAGGAGTTCTCGGTATGGATATGCATATGGATGGTTACTCTTCGGCCCGCCCATACCTCATACCCGACGATCCATCCTTGTCCTGGGCCGTAAAATGTCAAATTAATGTTACAACATGTCCAACGATTTCTGATGGCATTTGACAATGCTGAGTGGAAATTCCTGCAGGTGACGCAATTTCCCTGTAATTTGTTTGGCCGCACGTACCGTCGCCCATGACATGGGGCATTGTCAGCTTGTTTGTGCCTGCCCAGCATAAACAAAAAACCCCAGACGATCTGATCCAAAACGCGCCAAGGGACCTGCAGCCCTATTGGAGTGTGGTTAACTCGGTTATTGGATGGTCGGTCAGTGGTGGTAGTTGGTAGTTGATAGTTGGTTATTGGTAGGTGTCAATGTGTGGGGCATATCGCACACGTGTGCTCGCTCCTGCCCTGGGGCCATAAATTCACTTAGTTTATTTGCTGCCGCTGCTTCTGTGTCCCAAGTCCACCAAGTCCACCACTTGGCCAGACACTGCGACACCCAGCCATAGCCATAGCCTAGCTAACACAGTCCGCTCCCGTGCCCAGTTCAACGGAAATTTGTGAAGGAAATCAAATTAAAATTTCGCTAATTTATCAGCCGCTCAGAAATCGTGAGTCCACTGGCTGCCAAGGGGCGCTAATTGGCAACCAATTCGCATATCGGTGTTGGCAGCTTAGCTTTTTACTGTTTGTTAAATTTGGCTTCGTTTGGAGCTTAAATAGACTGTTTGGGAGTTATAAGTTTTCAATATATTTTTTTTAACTTGTGTGTTTATATTTTTTGTAAAAACTAGAAGATTATATTTTAGTTTAACAAATTAACTCTGTTTATAGGGACTTTTTGGTAAATATTATATAAATTATTTATTCTAAGATAAATGCATTCTTATACCTATAGAAAAGCCGTCAACACTACGCTTCTGACAAAAAAAAGGCAAAACACTTAAGGGAAATGTAATGGTGGAGAGTCAAAGGAAATGGCGAGGGGTGTTGCGAAAATTTTTGCATTTTATCGAAACGACTTCATCAGCCAGCCAGTCTGGTAGTCTGTTCTCTGGCCTGGTCTGATCCGCAGTTCCAGGTCCGAAACAAAGGCATTCTAATTAAAATTCCCAAGTGTCAGAAATTTTATTTATTCCCTCGCCAAGCCAAGTGCATCAATCAAACTTTTGCACAACCAGCAATTAATTTTTTTCGGCAACGATGTATATGTAGGAGAGAAGAAGGGTGTGAAGAGGGGAGGGGTTTTGATATTGGCAGATCCGTTAAAATCAAATTGCCTCATCGTTAACACCCAAAAGTCGATGGGATTCTGAAATTGGAATGGGATGGGATGGGATGGGGGATTGGTTTCGTTGGTTAATCGATGACTGATTGATCAAATGAAAGTTACACTGGGCAACAAAACAAGGGTTCAATATAACTGTTGTATATGGTAATCCCATCCATCCATTTTTTTTGAGAACACCACATCATTGAAATCATAGCCTATTGTTTGACTAGTGTTCACTCTCTATTAAAACGATTATGATAGGCCAATCAACCCCGGTATTCTAACCATTTTGAGGACCCTTGTTGTGCATTCAGTGAGCACATGTTATTATTTGTTTTTGATGAAGTGGTTGATTACAATCAACCCTCCCCAGTCATTCAAAGTCCACCCCTTGATTGCTCTTTTACGGTGGTTACAATTTGACTTCCTGTTAGTTAGATCTCTGCGTTGGTTAGTTGATTTTGATTAAGTAGATATTCGCTCTATGGGAAAATCGTTCTTATTATATGCGTTACTCGTAGAGAGAAAGGGTATATTGTATTCGTTGAGTAACAAAAGAGTAAAAATATGGTGTTTTCTGCTAAGATCAACCTTATTTTAAAATTAACAGAATAGCTTAACAGAGTAATTCCGCAGTAACAGAGTAGGTTAACGAGTAACGGGTATCCAAAAGTTACGGCACTCGACTATTTCTTTCCTTTTTATTCCCATTTATTGCGAAAGTAGAAATGAAATAACGAGAAAGAAGAATCAAAACAAAGATCCTTGGAGAGATCCTTCGTAGCGGAAAACATTTTTGTGCTAACTAAAACATAACCATAAATAATAAGATTTTATTATTATAGTTATTGAGCATTACTTTATGCTTTTTTTTTAAATTTAGGTTCACATAAGACATACATATGCAATCTAAGCCTAACCACCAAATTGAAAATTCCGATTGAGTTAAAGTCATAAAATCAAGATTTTTTTATGGCTTTTGGCTTGTGGGTCAGCAGGTGAAAATCGAAAATCTAGGCGGGTTAAGACTGCCTCCCACACCGCGCATAATTTGCCGATGTCGAACATTTGGTAATACGCGTCAAATGGTGACCAAGTATGTCAGAAGACATCATCGCATTCAATATGCAAAGCATCGTCGCATTTTAATCGCCTCGGTGGGTGGCATTCTCATTGGGAACACCGAACATTGGAAACTAATGGAAACTTACGTCGCTTTTTAATTGATTTGTGCCAAAAGTTTTATAGGTTTTTAAACCTGGCCCGAAACAAATGGCAGCGATTGTTGGAGGGGCAGCCGGGCCCAAAAACGCAATCGGAGATCGAAAACAACCGGCCCCCTGCCTGGGGAGCGGGCCTAATTATGGAACGCCAGAAATGGCAAATTAGCATAAAATTTAGCAACATTAAAAATTATAGTTTATTATTATGTCGCTCGTGTATGTGAATGTATGTGTGTGTGTGCGCTCCTTTTTATTGTTGCTCTGTGACTAAATTGATTAATGAGCCAATTTAATAGTTGCGTCTGCTTATGGATATATTTTTATGACACTTCAAAAATTATGACGGGCATTTTTCCATTTTTTTTTTTAATTTAAACAATTTGTTTTTTTACCGTTGGCCACCACAAGTTGCACAATTTAAGTGTTTTATTTTTTTATATTTGGGCTTACAGTGAAAGTGCTTCTCGATGGAGGGAGGGAATAATAAAATTTGACCATAAAAATAAATTTGGGGCTGGGCGGATTAAGCGAGTTATGGCCTGGTGTTAAGGTGTTGGCGGCACATTTCTTTCACGGACTTTTTGAGTGGGGCGATTTTTTGGCGTTTTTAATGGGACCATTAAATGCAAAATTTGATTTATCTGGTTTCGGCCATTCAGATGCTAATGATGCCGATAGAATGACGTAGTATTGTTCGCAAAGTTATGGTGGTTATTCCCAATTTGTATATCTTTATTTTCCACCCTAAACCTTTTATGTAATTTCAAATCGCTTATTTATTGTTCTAAAATTACAAAATGACTTTTTAGATATAAATAAAATCCCACTAAAGCCTTGATTTTCCGATCATCTGTAGTTTCATCTATTCATTGTAATTTTTCTGATGGGAATACATCAGAAAATCTTAAACTTCGTTAAAAGCGACAAACTTTAACTTTTAAAAACCTTCGAAATGTCCTGGAAAAAAATGATTGTGCCGCGTAACCAAGAGGTCAGGGAAAGCGAGTATTTCTTTTCCTATTCCCGCTTGGAGACCCACATGGGCATGCTGAAGGACTCAGTACGCAACCAGGCCTATTACAATGCCATCCTTCAGAATCGCGGGACTTTTCAAGGACAAGATCGTTTTGGATGTGGGCTGTGGCACGGGCATACTATCTCTGTTTGCTGCCGAAGCAGGAGCCAGAAAAGTTATAGCCGTGGAGTGCACAGATATAGCTGATTTAGCAAAGGAGATTTTAAGGGATAATGAAAAGGATGATGTGGTAAAGGTGGTCAAGGGATTGATAGAGGAAGTGGAGCTGCCGGAAGGGATTCGTCATGTCGATGTCATAGTTTCCGAGTGGATGGGGTAGGATCTATATTTTTAAATTAAGAAATTAACTAGCTGTTCTGTTTTTAGTCACGCTCTCTATATGGAAGGCATGTTAAATTCAGTGTTGTTTGCCAGGGATAAATGGCTTCGCCGTGGCGGCCAAATCCTGCCCAGCGTCGGAAAACTCTGGATGATTGGAGCCCATGATCCGCATAGGTTGGCCAATCTTAACTTTTGGCGCAACTTCGAGGGTATCGATATGAGTTGCGTGAGGAAGGTATTTTCGCAGGAGCCATTGGTGGATTGTGTGCCCATCCAACAGTTGGTCACCGATGAGTGCTTAATACATTCCACCCACTTGGGTTTTGCCCGTAATCAGCCAGTGGTATTTCGCTCGAACTTCCTGCTAAATGTAAAGCGAACTGGAATCATCAATATGTTGGTCCTATACTTCGATGTGGATTTTCCAGCGGAAAAATCGGAGAAAGCGATCACTCTTTCAACATCACCCCATAGTCCGTGGACCCATTGGGAGCAGACGCTGCTCCATCTGGATGAACCACTGTATGTAAAGGCCAATGATCAGGTGCGCGGAATTCTGGCCATGATGCCATATGAGCAGGACAAGCGCTGTATGAACTTTGACCTCAAAATTAGCTTCCGTGGCGATCGGACGCGGGTGGAGAGCTTCAAGGGATTCAGCTCGAATCGATATTCGTCTTGATCAATATGATAACTGCCATAAAATGGGTCGTTAATCGAGGGCCTTCAAGTGCCCGAGGGAGTTTTTTTATACGTTTTTTGGTGGTCAATCAATCCGCGGCGGGGCTTAGAAAGTATAGACAGTCGAAATGTTAACGACTTTCTTAACAAATTAATTTCAAAGCCAGGTCGTCGCTAGAAAATGTGTCCCTCTCCGCCTCTAATTAATTGATGGCCCGTCGTATAAATTTGTGAAAGCCAACGCCGTGGGCCCACAATGAACGCCTTTTATGCGTTTATAACTCTATTTACTATTTTAGCCATTTGCATTGTCTACGGTTTCGAGGTCTCGAAAATCCCTCGAGATGTTTCCCAAAATCTCTTGTCAGCTCGTTTTGTGTTTGTGCATGGACTGGCATTGTTAATGGCAGTTCTTAAAAGGCCATAAAGTTGCTTTATGCTCCAATGAAATTAATATGCACACCATTATTGGACATGATTATAAAATATTGGTTATCTAGCGCTCACAAAAGCGCCACAAATGAGCCAGCCAGCCAGCGATCTTTGATTTTCGGTCAACACTTGTTCACCGTCCCTCGGTTCGGAGATCGGCCATCAGGTGTGCATCCCGCTGGGCGCATTAACAAACTCCCAGACTAAAAACAGCACCCAAATGGATCCGATCCTCGCCAGCCAGCGTAGGCCCAGCAAACGTTTCAATTTGTATCCATCCCCCCTCTGTCTACTCTTCGGGAAAATAAACCCCCTTCCCATTCCTTGTTCATGTTGTTGTTTGGGTATCAAATTGCTGGCATTTGTCAACGGAACGGGACACTGCGCACCAAGTCACCTATAAATTAGAGACTCGTTAGACAGCTTAACCCGGGGTACCCAGATTTAAGGCGGAGAATATCCTTACACTGCTCCCGCTGATAAGAAGGTCCGATCCCACAATTGCCTCATAACTAATTGTTGTCACCCGGTTGGGAGAGATAACGCTTGGGAACTGTGAGAAATGCTGGGCGATAATCTATTTGGAATTTATGTCCACTGATTGGAGCGGAAATGTGATACCAGGATTATTTGAGGTCCAATTTGACAAATTCTATCTAGAGGAAATTGTGGGCTTAAGCATAAAAAGATCAAAATAAAACAACATTAAATGTTTAATAATAACTAAGAAAATTGAATGGAATCTGAATCTGGATAAAAGAAAGCATTCTAGTTTTAGGAAAGTTAGTTTATGAACATAGTAACCTATCAAAGATTTTTAAAGTTTGACATTTAAAATATTAGAAAGAGAAAGTCCTTTGTTTCTTAAATGGATATTGAAAAGAATCATCTAAAGGAAATGGCCAACGGCATGCTGAATGATTCTATATCATCGAGGGCATACGAATGGTTATTCAAACGATATGAAAGCCTCTTCAAGGATAAGGTAAATGTTCTCATAATTTTTCTCAAAATTTGTGATTTTCTTAGCAACAAATTGCAGATAATTATGGACGTAGGTTGTCGCAGTGGCTTACTTAGCTTGATGAGCGTGCAAACTGGTGCCGTCAAGGTCATAGCTGTGGGCAATGCAGAAAGTGCTTACTTCGTTAAGAAAGCTATTTCGAATACCGAAAAGGAAGATATCTTTGAGTTCGTTAAGGGTGATATCAGACAGATAAGACTGCCATGTGGTCTCAAGAAAGTGGATATCATTGTGTCCGAATGGATAGGGTTAGTAGTTGAAAGTTCTTAACTTTTAAAATAAAAATCATTTTGTTTTATAGACACTCGATTTTTGTGGACTCGCTTTTCAAGGAGGTAATCTACGCCAGGGATAAATGGCTTGTTAAAGGAGGCTTAATAGTCCCCAATGTGGCCCAGCTTCTTCTTTACGGAGTTTCAGACCATCCGCGTGAGAAAATCGAAGATTATCCGAAAGAGGATTATGTCCCCATGGAGAATATAGTTACCGAGAAGTTTTTACTGACTAAAATCGATCTGTTAACTGCCAATATAAATGATGAGAATTTCAAAACGCCCTTCAAGGTAAGGGGTCTAGTGGACAGTCGACTTGGAGCCGTAGTTCTATATTCGGATATTGGATTCTCTCTACCCCAGGGCAATGGCAGGCGAATATATTCCACTAGTCCAAAGAAACCTAGAAGCTACCTAAAGCAAACTATACTCTTCGTGGATAATCCCGTTGTGGTGGCCAGAAAAAGAGCTAGTCGAAGGTGTCCTTGGGATGTACTACAGACCCAACTTACATCGCAAAGTAGAGTATTCCCTTTCCTTTGAAAATTGTGGATCCGAAGAATTGGAGGAAACTAAATAAGTTTCTTAAAATGATTTTGAGTCAAAAGTGGACGTGGATTTGAGCGAAATAAAGGAGGGCTCTTGTTGATGTATTCATGGCAATCTTTTGGTTCCTCTGCAGCTGCAAGAGGGGAGTTGGCTTGGGGATCGTTGGCCGATCAAAATTTATGGCCGTGCTGCATCAATTAGGGCGGCTGCTAACCAAAAGACAATGGACAAGGGATCTGGATCTGGGGATCGGGATCCCAGTCTGCCACCGATTCGGACTGACTTATTTTTTTGTGGTAAGCCTCCTTGTTGTGCTTTGGCTTTGACCTGATCGGTGTTTAGCTTTGACGTTGCTACAACGATTTAAAATGATGTCGCGCATAATTCACCGATCGACCAACAATCGTCTTGCCAGACTGTGCGTCGTGATTTTGCTCTGGGGCTTGTCCGACAACGGCCTCGTTTACAGTGAGAGCTCTTTTGTTCTGATCTCATAACCGATCTCTCTGATCTCGGATCGCACTTGGTTAGCCCAGCGAAAGGAATCCGTTCGAGGATCTCGATTCACCTTAGCCATTCACATGCTTAAGTGACATTTCGTCTGGTGGTTAGGCACTGGGGGAAAAGACTTGTTATAAACAGGGAATTTCCTTTAAAGATTAAACCTTTCGTAAATCTAGAAATTTCTTTGAAAATTTTTAACTTAGTACTAAAAAGGTTAATCATCTTGAAGAGTTTTTCTATTGAAGTCTAAATGACCTAAATGACCTGAAACCCTAATTTTTCTCTGTGTAGTTTAAACTTTAGGCTGGACTCTGGCAGAAAAAATGCCCGAGGCTTGATCTTGAGGGTCCGTGATGGATTAGCATCGTTTTGCCGTGAGGATAATGTGTCGTCTGCAATGATTTTGGTTGACAAGCGCGTTTTTTTTTTGGGTTCACCGTCGTTGTTTTTCTGGCTGCGACCGTTTCTCGGAAATAATTATGCTACTTTTGTGCAAGAATAACAGCATTTTTGTACAAATTGCATAAAAATTTAAATTGCCTTTCGAGCTTTGAGCGGATTTTCGGTTTTTCTGCCGTTTGCTGCGAAATTGCTTAATAATGAAATGCCAATGGATTAAGCGCAATTTGTGCGGCATGCCCACTGATTGTCCCCGGGATTTTTATCTTTATCGCGTTTTTTACTCAGCGATCTGGTCGAAACAATTGGCCAGATCCTCGGCAATCCTCCCCAGACCCATCATCACCATCACCATCATCATCAGCCTCAACACGTTCGATTTGCTGGGCCTTATTTTACACCTAACGAGGACTGAGACTGAGTCCAGTAAAGGAGAAAAAACAAACCCGAAAAACCCTACAACTGCCTCTCTTTCTTGGGGCCTTGCAGCGTTTTCATTAAATTCGCTTAATAGCGCAATATAATTTAAACAAGTAGTAACATAAAATAAAACTCACAGCCACGCACTGAAAGGCATAAAGATGAAGCAAATTACTCCGGACCTGAGAAAACCAGAAGAACAGTACAGAATTCGAACTCCTCCTTGTGGCCAAGATAATATTCGGGGAGGGGTTTCTTACATTCAAGAGGGCCAGGGTCTGGCAGTGGTCTCAGTTGGCCAGTTATGGCGCATGGGCGAGACCTCTCCGTTGGCCAGCAATGGCAATAAGTTCGCTTAACGAGGGTTTAATTTATGATTTGTTATGTTTCCGGTTCATGTTCTTGTTGCCTGCAAAATTATTGGCCATAAAGCCAAGGTGTGGATTATAGTGGCTGGCAGTGGTAGCCGGGTAAAGTCGTTGGCAATCGAGCCATGGCGATTTGGAGGAAAAAAGAGGCAGGGAAAGATGGAGATGGTCGGTGGGATAACCGAGAACGATGATGAGGTCACCAGGGGGGAGGCAAAAGTTAATAGGTCACCATTATCCCATGATTCGGGAATTTCTGATATCATATTTTCACTTTGCAAAAAGTTTTCCTTCGGAAAACATAATTGTATTTCAAAATGAATTTCGGACGTGTCTAATTCATCTGTTAACCAAACGACTTTGGCAATTTGGTCTTAGCCACTAATAGACCCTAATCCCTTCACGCTCACTGTGAATTTGCTGGCAAGGAGCCAAAGGATAAGGCCAACGAATGCATTGCGTTGAAAATCGATTTGTAGTTTTATTTCGTTCCATTTTTCGTGTTGCCCATGGCCCATGGGTTGCGCCTGCGCAAACAACTCGTAGCGCGGATAACAACGGATAAGAAAATAAGCAGAGACAAGCGGAGACACCACGAAGAGAAGGATTGGGAGGATCGGTTGCTGCGCAAGTCCTCTGAGGGGCAAGTTGGTCGTCCAAGCAACGCCAACGAGTATCTGGTGGAACATAAATTACGCGACTAACAAGCAGCGCCCCGTGCAGCTAAAAAAGATACAAAAAGCCCAGGGAGAGACGGATGAAAAAACACTTCATACTTGGGAACTGAGTTGCACAGAGAAAAAATTGATCGACTATTGATTTTTAATTTTGAGAGCAATTAAAAGGAAGTTACTAACAATCGTATTTCTAGACAACATTTTTTTATATTTGTAAAAGAACAATAAATCAATATATTAGGCATTTGCCTGATAAAAGATTTGTTCTCAGTGCTCTTCAGCTTGGCCCTCTTAGTTCAGAGCTCTGGGGCCAAAGTGAGTTGCACAAAATTATAAATGAAAGCGGGTGTTGGACTCGTCCTATCCAGGGGCCCTCATCCCGAGGCCCAGGCCATCCTCATACTCACGATTAGGTGCAGCAATTTGGCCGTGGCTGTCTGTGATTGAGACCGAGGCAGTGCTCGAAACGAAGTTAAAAATCAAATTAGCGAATGTGTTGAAAATTAAAAACAAATTCACGGATAAATTGCATCTGCCAGATACGCAATTATTACGAGGGTTCAAATGGAAGGGCTCAGAGAGGGGACCCACTGACTTATGGACTTGGGTAAGCCTTGGGGTTCTGCGTTTCTGTTTCTGGGGCCTCGGATTCTGGCTGGGTTCTTGAGTCCCCCGGATCCATGTATCTGGACCCCTGCATCTGTATCTGCCCTCGAGGTGTTGCAATTTGACGTTTTTTACGCGAGTTTTTATTCCAATGAAATCCACATGAATTTCATGAGGCTGTGCGGCAGCAGCAGTGCAAATACTCGGCCTAAATGGTTGCCAATGTCCCTGGTCCGTTGGCGGAAAAACATGTCGAATTAACACGCTCTAAGGGGCAGCTGGACGAGTCCTGGGTTGAGTTTGAGGTTCGTTTCCTTTTGTATATTTAAATGTTGGCAAATTAGCTGAAATTTCTTCTCGCAATTCCCGTGTGTGCCTACGGTGTGAGACATATAATTACAGTTGAATTTTAGCCGGGCTTAAACTCTCCTCTGGCCATCCCAAAAACAACAAACAAAAAAAAAAAAATGTTGCTCAGCTGGCGCCGTGTCTGCTCAGAAGACGGGCAAATAAATCGCGCTGCTGTTGAACTTTTTATCTGCCTTCGGAGGGCTTAAAAACGAAAAAAAAAGGAGAACAAAAAGAAAATAAAGGGGGGTTAGAGCCAGAATGGCACTGCTGCCAGATCTGCCAGAGATGGAAGTCGGCCACGCCTCCCTGTTGTCCTGTTGGCTTAAACCTCTTGCTGTTGCCAACTTCCTTCAGGTTTTTGGCCCTGAGCCTCCTCCGAAATAGCTCTTGTTCTTGGGGCCGTAAAAAAAAGGGCGCAAATTTTATGAGCGCATCGTTTAACAAATGAATTTACAACCGTGCAACGCCCAAATGTCTGGCGTTCAAATTCAAATTCCTGGCCACGCAACGAGCGGAAATCTTGGCCCAGCTCCAGGATGACTTACGTGGCACACGGAGGCGGATACATAGGTACACAGGGAGAAAACTAAAGCTTAGACATTAGGTAGATCTTTCTAAATTTTCAAAAACTTATGTGTTTATCTTCAAGCTGTTAAAAGTTTATAATAATCTGGGATGTCTTTATAACATCTCAAACCCTTTTAAAGCATACTTTTAGGATCACATGGAAATGTTTTCGAATCTCTGGAGAAGTCTGTATATCCCTTGAACAAAAGGATTGATAAAACACATTTTAATAACATTTAAAATTGCTTTACTCATCATAGAAGAAACTCATCAACACTATAACCCTTTCTCTCTGTGTACTCTTTAGAACCCGCTTGTTACTGAGGGACAAACAAACCTATGAATAATGCCTGGCACTGGGCCAAGTGACTCAAAACAAATACAATGTGCAAGAACACGAGGCAGGCAGATCCATGGCCACATCATTGGGCATCATCATTATCGTTGGTAAGAGGATCCATTCTGGTGCCGTCTGCTGGACACGTTACATTAACGCTTTCATTAGCCCAGTTTTTTTTTTTTTGCCTCGCTGGCCGCCCTTTTATCGAGGCTCCACTTTGTCGCCCATAAATCGAAGCTCGTTAAGTGCGGTTTAATGAGAAGACTCCGGTGCACCTTATTCCCTGGACTTCAACTGCCACTCCGGCGTGCTAGCTCGAGGGCCTGGTCAGCGTTTACAATTTGGTAATTGTCCCTGGCCTGTCAATAAGTTTTTATGGCCGCCCCATAAAGGGAAAGCTCTCTGATCTCAACCTGAGTCCGAGTTTTAGTTTCGGTTTCAGTTTTGTGTCTCAGCTACTCGACAATTACCGACACGATCGCAAATTGCCAGCACACGAGGCTGGTAATTTGCCGGGCTTAATGTCCGGTATGCAAATACCTAACCAAGCCGGCCGATCGATCATTTCAGGCACCCATATACTTAATGGTACAATGTATTTCCTGTTAGTCTTGCTCACTTTTTCTACAAAAACTGATACAAAAAGTGCAAAACAACAATTATTACACATTGAGATTACATTTTTCTGCGTCTTTATTACCAATAATGTTTTAATTAAGTTCGAAAAAAACGTTGTTTGCAATAATTTAATACCTTGAAGTGTAAAAATGTAAAGAAGCTAAAGCCAATCCCACTTCATATCTCAATAAAAGGGAGTCAATTATTCTACAAACATCTTAGAT